ATCCACTAATGTCTGTGGGGCAAAACATTTCATTTGCTTACGGCTAATTATGATACAGCAGGATGTAACAAACCAGTGACATTGATGTTACTCTTCCTCGTTCACTCGTCTACGACTCATGTTCGTAACCTTGAACTGGTTTTAACTGCCTACCATGAAATCCTATTACAAGCAGACTTAGACAATTATGCTGAAAAGGAGCTGACAAATGACTTCGTAGTGGTTTACTTTTACTAAGAAAACACAACTGCTGAAATATAAACATTTATTATTGTACTTAATTCTGACAATAACAACACCTCTTGTTTATCTGTACTGAAGACTGTCTCTCGCGCACCAAGCGTGTTATTCCCATCCTCCTCTTCGCACGTCTCCTGCGTGAACGTTAGCCGTTTGTATGCCCTCTTGCCTCGATATTATTTCGATATCACGAGAAAGAGCTCACGCATGACTCTTTGGGCCACAGAGGTTTAAAAACAATAAATGAAGTATCACCAAAGCATCATATCTCTAAGCCTTTTCATTGTTCAGTAAATTTACATAATTTCTGACAACTTAGTTCTTTTTAATCATAATTCTGACTCATATTATTGTTTGCCCATTCATTTTCTTACCAGTGGCTTGTCTTCACTAAATTACATGAACGCAGGTGTATAGTCAGTGTCGTTGTGCAGAAAAAGAAAAAGTCTGAGTAATGGTACCATTGTTTTATCCAAAAAATTATCCGTTGAGCCTTGACTAAGCTTTAAACAAGAATATTTTCTATTCAGCTCCTCAATCCTTTCTCTTTATTTCTCTTTTTCAACACCTCATTCTACTCCCAAAATATTAGCCTCTATGATTGCCGAAGACTCGGTTACTTTACCCAAGAGCCTGTGAATTTATTATCCGGTCAATCTCAACAAGGGTATCATGACACATTTATCTTGTCAGTTCTTATTATATGCAGTCATGCATTTACCTTGCTCTCATTCTAAGCCAGAATTGGTTCGTCGAAAAGCAACCATCGTAACTCACTCCAGCTACCGTAGTTTACATCCCAGAGTCTGAAACATTGGGTATAACATTATGTGAAAAATATTAGCGTTCTGAAAAAATTCAGTGTATCCTGTGAAATATTTATCTAACCGGACGAACATTTACAGAAAATCTGTCGGCAATTTTAACAATTTGATCTGGCCTTTAATCTGGCATGCCTCTCGCAACATGAGATTAGAAGCCTGAGACGCAATTTAAATAAAGCTGCACTGAACTCCAGTAGTATATTCAATTTATCTAACATAGACTAAACCAAACATGAGACCACGGAAGCAGCAACTCGAGTTCATACATCAATGAACTCGCCGATTATTGTATATGGCTCAGTGTTAAAGGCAGCGGTTGAACATTAGAAAATGGCAACCACTTAGCCCCAAAAACTTTAACAATCGGAGACAGACGCTAGACGGAAATTATAAATTGTATTCAGTGTCCCAGTATTGGGAGGTAGTTTGCTAGAAATTAGGACAGTCTCCGTCTAAGAACAATGAGACAAGTGCTGCGCAGTGCATGAAATTGGTACCAATTCAGTCAAACTATATCGTCTGAAGAAGGGTCCTAATGTCGATAGAGATAAGCTCAGTACATTAAGGATAAGTTTAAATTGGACACTTCAGTATAAATCTTAGTGACGTACCGAAGAAAGTCGATTAAACTGCCTTCTTAAATCCGGGTCAGACGCAAAAAGCTTTAATCTAATAGATGCCGCCTGTAGATCTGTAAACGCCCGATAATCAGTCAATGTGGGTCGTTCGTGGTGTTTCTAGTATGGGACACGCTGACCTTTGATAACCATCAGTGGCCAGTTCCCATGGAAATAACCAGTTCATATTACTCAGCTAATTAAAAAGTAGGGGACTGTAAAGTAGCACATCAACTGCATCGGCTGAGCTAGTACCCGAAACTATTGATCTAACCTTCAAACTGGCATGCTTCTTGTAACATGCTGTTATTTGAGAATGAATTAATTATTATTATGCGGATAACGACAAGTAGAGAAATCAGAAAATTATAATACGTCCGATTCTCACCGAACTGTGGGGAATCAGACATGATCTGATAATGGTGTGCCTGATGAGTATCTCATAATTTATTTCTTGTTATCATTAGAACTACTTTATTTCATTTACTCACTCTACCTCGCTTTTTATGAACTCTTTTTACTCTTTCACCATAAAATTTCAGTCTTCTCACAGTCTTCATCATCAACTAATTATATTTTTTGGTAACCTAGATTTTGACGCATTCATCTCCTAGAGTTAGAATTTGATCTTCGTTATTCTGTACAACTAAATAACCTCCCATCTAACAATTTGGTTGCTTCTGGAATCCTGAAACCCTACTGCCCTTATACAAACGCACTGGCTGGATGACAAGACACAAATCTATATATAACTCTAGAAGGCTAGAATTGGAACAGTAAAGTATTTAGAAATACCAACTGCTGGGGATTACTAGATACTTGAACCTGCACGGAAAAAAACGAGTGGAAAGGAATCAGTCGGTCCAAATATGCTCGTGCGAGTGGTATTGAATACTGAGTGGAGGGAGGTTTATACTCCCAAGGGCGTTTGTCCTCCGACGGCAACAATTTTAGTCACTCCCATTACTGTTGAAATTAATCGATCCCTAGTTTAGTTATTTTCTCAGCTATTGGAAAACCTTGTTTCATAATCTTCGATACAGTGCTATGAAGTTTAGCAGTAGTCGATAGATGGCAGTCGTGGTTGTCTGAATCGTTCCTATTTTGTATCCACTATGCGGTTGATTATAAATACCTTCTAATCTGTGCTTACAAACAACAAAGTGAAGTTCGCCCAAAAATTTAAACTTCGGTTTCTATCCAAAAACCATTTCTGACTAATTGGAAATATTCTTCTACAGCTTCGGCCCAGTTACATAACTTAAAATCATTCGCACATAACCCTAACCTATTGCAAACATTCATGAATCTTTGCGATGGCTTGTAGTCGCACTTTATGTTTTCTTAAGTAATGACCCTAGAATCTTATTTTGTTAGTATGGCAACTGATCTACTAGTTTACTCAGATTAAGCATAGAAATCTAAGAAGGCTTTCACATTTAATTATTTTCGGACTAAGTGCTTGATAGACCGAATAAGAAACCTTTGTGGTACCGTCTCGGTCGTTTAATTCTTTATATTAATAGTTTACTCTGAGGTTAAGTCTCATCCTTTTACTCTGCTTTTAAATAATCCTCGGTCAAAAAGAGGAGTTATAATATGCTGTAGGTTGGAATGTCGGTGGGGGGAATAAAATTCTAGTCAGTGATGATGTTCGTGGATTTTTAAGTCACAAGTCTCATAGCTAGAAGATCAACAACATATATACATCGTGTCCACTGCGCTTACAGTTTTGTGTAGTTGTTGATTCTATTTCAGTTTGTTTGGAAAGGACAAGAGGCCAAGCGGTTTGTGTTATTCCTAACGCTATTTGAGGATCATGGTCTCCTGAATGCGTCAGTTTCAAAGACAGTTTTACCTGGGGTCTCAAAATCTATAGAATCTCTAGACGTTTGATAAGTTATGAGTAGTCGAGTACCGTTGCTATAAACTTCATTCTGATATTGAGGCTCTGATATATGTGCCGTTTAAATTCTTCGAAGTTAATTTTTTCAGGAATGTTCGGATAAATATATTACGAGCCAAACATACCTTGAAATTCTGTTTAGCATTTGAGTTCAAAATCAAATCGAGTTTAATGAAAATGTTCCACCAATTAGTTGTAGCCATCCCACCCCTTTTTTTTTACTTTTGTTTCAATAATATTATTTGATTATCGTTTATTCACTTTCTAAACTTGAATTAAAAATAACCAACCGATATGCTGGTCTTTAAGATTGGGTATCAATTGGGTACCGTTTAAAAATTGGACTCAACATGGAATTTCGAATATATTGCTTTGGGCTCTGTGATACAGTGATACCTGTTAAATACAAAAATAATTTGATTTTTGCTAAAAATTGGTCATTCTATTCACACAACGAGATTCTGGTGGTTTAAAAGTGACCTCGATTTTATAGATAATTCAAATAGTGAATATAGGCTTCCTAATGGTGTACATGGTCTCCATTAACAACTATAAAAACAGTCATTTAGTTTGTAAAACCTATTTAATATATACAGGTCTCTATAATTTGTGTTCACCAATCTTGTGATATCCGTGATAGTTTTCTGGCTACTCAAATTGAAGTCAGTTAGTCATATGCAATTTAGATCCGGGCACGTATGCATGGTTGCCACACCACATTAACACAGCCGAAGGAACTTGTCAAAAGGAATCCTAAGGTAATAGTGGTATTAGGAAAGACCAGTCATACAAGATACGATTCGAGAAAATACAAATCGGTAAAATAGTAGAAAAATCTTGTGGGGAATTTAGTAACTTCAGATCTAAGGAAAGACAAGAAGTGAAAAAGCCTGCGCTATCGCGAACGATTTTGAACCATCACTCTAAGTTCCTAATCATTGGTTACAATAATCAGGCGCGCCCTAACCAGATAGTCTGCACATAACTACACGGTTTAATTCAACAACCAATGCCTTTGTGTACTGATGACATGTCCTGATTATGCCGTTCCTAGATTTTTCTGAACCTACTTATGCACCAGACATCACCGAGTGTTGAGGCGCCCGGTGGGTGGACTGACCTACGCTATACATGTCCTAACTATCCTGGTTGATGAAGATCAACAATCTCATAATCGTACTTGCAATCCTTAATCTGGTGTCCATTTGTCCCCAAGTCAAAGTGGGATAAACGAGATCCACACCTGCTACCTAGTGAGATTGCAAGTTTATCGGTTTGGTCAAAAAGTTTCTTCCCCACAGAGCCAGCCAAGATACGTAGGTTTTTCAATGCTTGCCGTTACTCAACAACAGGCGGATTTCAGTCGATTATCTGTTTTCATAAATTCTGTTTTAGAGTACTTTCCATCACTTTATAGAGATCCAGTTATTTGTCTACTACTATACCAGCAACATACTATAAACCACCATGGGAAACTGCATATTTGCTGGAAAGAAGTTATTTAGTCAGTAGGTTGTATAATTATTCTTTCAAAAGCTGTCACTTATAGATGCTACAATCATCTTGGACAAAGTCGGAAGTCTCCCGAGGTACTCATTTCACATTATTTTCATATTTTCTTTTGTAGTTTGATTGCTTAATCGGCAAAGTGAGTATTATTTATGACCAATAATTCATACAACTTATTTCTTATTTCTAAGGAGAAATACAGGAGTGTAAAACCGTAAGTTAGGGATTTTTAAATTGATTTTACTGCTTTAGAGTCAAAGAACCACGAAATGTGATCAATGAGTATATGTCATGGGTATGTTCTTAGTTTCCTTTCATCATATATGTATTTTCCAAACTGAATTATCATCGTCTGATGTCGTTTTAATGCTTTGATTTTAGGCCCTGAGTCACAGTCATTCACCTCTTGTCTTCGATGATGCTATGTCTCATTCATCACTTTCTTCGCATTTCGATGAGTCAAATATACCAATTTCTTCTAGTTGGATTAGTGATGGGGCCCGCAGTGATACTTCTCATATATTGTATAAAGAATTGGATCCGTTAAACAAAACAACATCTATGGAATTGGATAAAGAAAACAATGCAGTATTCTATAAAGAGGGAAGTTGGATTACTGTTGCAGAACCTACGAACGGAAAATATGCAACTTCAGTAAGTAATTTTCACCTTGGTATACTACTTTTAGTAATATTTAGAGGCATTTATTTTTTTATTATATGAATGTTATTCAGTCAGTCAGTTACAACGTAGAAATTCGTACGTAAGTACATAAGTTCAGGTTTCCATACTGCATCAGCACAGAGACACAACTGACAGTTCAAATCCCATGGTGGTAGAGATAGCAGAATTATTAGCAGTAATCCGAGAGATTAGGGTTCGAAGACGTGATTCGAGAAGTATAATTCACTGAGATAACTTTAGAAAGGGAGAGAAATGATGGGGAATTCAGAAGGTTAGAATTTGAGTGAACACTATGAATGAATACGATATGCACAGGCCGAAACCTATACACACTATACGATACACGTTGAGATAGATGCAGTTGACTGTAAGTATACTGAACATGCATATATAGCATACACAGGCCAAGACCAATGAACACCATAGTACACACGTAGGTATAGATACAGGTCATTGCAAGTATACGATTTTGAGCCATGTCATCCAAGGTCTGTAACCATTGGTGACTTTCGTCTCGTGGACCCCAATCAGGTAGCCTACATCTACCAACATAACTCAGTCCACTTGTCAGTGACTTCATGATCTTTTGCCATGTTTCGGTTTGGCCGCCCCTAGCTTTCTTCCGACCTACTCCTACACCACAAAACATAGCTCGTCGCGGCAGTCGGTGGTTGGGCAGTAATTATTTGACTAGCAACAGAATACAACTCTTGAAGGAAGCACTTAGATAAACTAGTATAATGTTTGAATAAAAGGTGTACAAATCCCTTCACTGTCTTAATTTAATGTAACGAATTACATTGATTTGAAAGAATATTTCCTAAGTGAATCATTATAGGCTTTATCATGTTCAATCAATAAGCATGTAAGAACCAGAGTGCTGAACGGATAGGTTTCATTGGGATAAATACTGGTAGATAAAGCAAAAAATTAGCTGGTTATGCATATATGAAGAGGCATTCCTACAATAAAAGCACTTAGGTATTGTCACGTTTACGTTTTGGTACCAAAAGTGGTTATACTGTTTTAAGTCGAATTCATCACAAAAGAATTCAAGCAAATAGAAAAATAGATATCTTCCAACATCATTAAATATTTCTCAAAATATTGAAGAATACTTTCAAATAAAAAATCAAAAAGCCTTGTGGATTAAAACTATGGTTTCGTTTGACTGCCAATGTGTAATAGAACGGAAATGGATTTTATGCTGGTGTCCTCATGAAATCTGTACAAAAGACCCGATAATAATAATAATAATAAGTATATTTGTAATGTCTCAGTCAGTAGGAAATTGAATTTCTGCATTTTGTGTTAAATATCCTACTTTGTTACTGTTTATTATTTAAGCTTGTATTTATTTTATGTAAGTATTTTCTGAAAAAGCGGCCTACATTAAGCATAAAATTGTCAGAAATTCAATAGTCTACTCGTTGGAATATTAAAAATAATTATTTTAATTGTTACATCATGTCGATGGTAAGATTATTGGTGTTATTCGGTTCATTTGCGGTATCGTACTCCTCATAAAAGCTGGATACACCAAGTCTGACTTGATGCTGTTGTTGTTGTGTACTGATAACTAGTCTCAGACTAGAACAGAACATCTGTATATTACTTCTTGATTTCCGATGCTCCTCTAACTAATGTCATTTTTTGATAAAAAATTACTCGCATAAAGATGCCTTTAACTAATAGAAAGAATAGGTAGTCGAATTACTGTAAGTGATATTGAAGCCTACTGAACTGTGTTTTTAGTCACTTCATGTGTTATTCCCTTGTCATTTGCAAAACTACTTTTAATAGCAAACCAGCTTTTTCGATCACTTGGACTCGATGAAGAGATTCGTTTATTAATTTCTTTTATAGATATGTACGTGATAGTTGTTATTTTGAAAGCATATTCTACTCATCTATGGTTTACGAAATTGAAAATCATATTTAAAAAGTTCTTATACCTTATTTCTGTCTTTATATTTCATATTACTGTTATATCCTTAATTAAATTCTGTAGCTCAAATTGAGTTGAAAGGTATTGATTTAACATTGAAGAATTAGATTACTGCATTATTTTCGTTTTCTGTTAGCTATTCTTAAAAAATAAGACTCATTTGTCCGTGTTATAGGGGATAATATTGGCAAATAAAAGTAGAAAAATTAATATTAATATCAGTCATTGAATTTTTGGTAGGTGAGATTTGTTTCTGATACATAGTATTGTTGATAAATTCTATTTTACCAAGGGAAACCCACAACAAACTATTTTCAGTTACGAAATAAAGGTAAGATCTTCATTGCCATGACAGTTGTTACAGAAAATTACCAGCGCGCATGCAAGTCAGTTGGCTAGCACATACTTTGTTCACTTTTTCTTGTTCACTTGCTTTCTTGTATTAACTTTATGTAAATATACTCTAACGCTGATGAAACTATTATGGGATATATTTTTTAACATTTTTGTTATCAATTTTATTAAAATTTAACACAACCCACCAGTTAAATGTAAACCAGACTTTAGATTAGGACGTCTCAAATGTTACCGAATCATTGAGATAGAATTAGGATTCACTTGAATTGATAATCCAAACTCTCATCTCCATAAAGTTAACCTAGCATCCCCATTTTTTCTATGTAAAGGCAGATACTACTTTGTAAGTAGAGCTTGATCTTACAATGTAACGGTTCAGTCAAGTGCCTGAACGATTTAGCCACGGTGTCCTGAATTTAAGTATGGCAGGTTCATTATATCTCTTCTTCACGGGTTCCTGTTGATTGGTGACTGGATTCGGTTGCAAATCGAAATGCCAAATCTGAAATTTTTTTAAAGAAACAGTTAGTACGTTATCTGCTACTTTTCAATTTAGTGGTATTAGTGGGCTGATTTATTTGGAGATCTTCATAGTGTCACTGTCACTTAGTAAGCTAATGAAAAACAGTATCAAACAGTCTCTTAATACCTTGATTCTGAAGTTCACAGGTTAATTCACACACCGATAAAAACTAATGGGATCTATAGTTTGTATTGTGCTTGGTGTTGTTGATGATTTCACTCAAAATTTAATGGCTGGTATTTTTCATAACCTGGTCAACTTTTGATATCCAATAAATAAAGTCAAATATTATCCACAAGTATTGGTCCTCAAGATGGCCCAGTTTACTTCAGCGGTTGTTATGTCTGACTTGAATCTCGGAAGCGTCATGTTGAAATACGTTGTCTGGAGGAATCAATCAATGTAAGAATCGTCTTTACAATAAAGCGACATCTCATCTTAGTTTCAGACTGTTCAACACCACAGTCATAATAACGGAAAATAATCGTGCTCTTTATATCTGATTACCGGTTTATGTTAACACTAGTCATTCGTCATGGAGTTTATTGTGATTTCTAGTAAACTTTGCTTGATTCGTAATTGTTATATCCTTGAACGGTCTGCCACGACTACACAAGAAATCATTTTGTCTCAATTTAGTTTAAAGGCCTTGGCACGATAAGCTATTTAGTTAACCCTGGGGCTAGTAGCACGTGAGTTCGGTTATGACCAAACGGCTCTGGAGGGGGAAGAAAACTATTCTGTCACCGGATGGGCTAACAAACGAGAGAGAAGACTAATCTGCTGGAGCACTACTCAATTTATTCCTGATTCAGAATAACTCAAAAAAGACAACCCACAACGACCACAACGCAGTAAGATTTAGCAAAATGCAATTATACCCAAACTAACCGTTTAGAATAAGAAACTTTGTGGGTTACGTCTAGGCTGCTACTATAAAACAGGGTATAACAGTGAATCATACCTCAACCGAAAGCTTAAGATTTACAGAATAAGATAAGAAAAAATATTAGTATCTAGTATAGGTGTAATAATGTTTCCAAAATACGCTTCCGTTGTTTGTCACCGTCTCTTTATTCCCCTCTTCACAACAGTGATCTTTGTTAAATGAGGTCTGAATTACATTAAAATCGAGGAGACACCAGATGCAAATATACTGATCAATAATTACTTAGGAAAACGTATTGCAAGCGATTCCGATCATTTAATATATTAAGCAAAAAAGTGGTTTAGCCCTTATTAAAGTGCCCTGACCAGTCTCAAAAAAAACTTCGATTTGATTCATATGCGTCATTATATACTTTACGTAAATATTCTTCTTCAAGTGACAAGTTCAGAAAATATAGTGAAAACAGTAAGTTCACCCAAATAGTGTGATTTATTTGCTCAATAAATGTGTACGTTTGAATACATCACAACTTTTTAACATGTATCATTTCCGTCCTCGTTATAAAATTTAAGTCGAAGTAGTGATAATATAACCCATGCGTTGAGGAAAAGTTTATGTACTCTGCTTTGAGCTACGTTTTTTGTTTGTGGACTGGTGATACTATCCAATTAACCAAATTGATGTACGTGCAGTGGGGTTTGAACCTGCAACCTTGATGTAAACCATAGGATTTAATCATAAATTCATTGCTTCACATCTAGTCCACAAAGGTGAATGGATATTTAAAATGTTTGCGTCTGATTCTAGTTTTGCATTTATCCATTCATTTACTATTGTTTTATGAATGTGTTAGCTTACCGCAGTGTTCTAACCTTTACAGTTGCATAGTCAACCATGTATTATTATCAGTCTTGTTTTCCAACATACATGTTTATTATTATTATGACTGTTATTATAGTTACCATCATTATTAATAGTAATAGTTAGAAGCATATTTTTGTCTTAGTCTCATGGATACTAACTATATGTTGAAATCTTTGTAATATGCTATTTTTCGGTGTTTTTTTTGTGTGTGTGTGTGTGTGTGGTTATCACCGGATGCACTCTTTCGTCTTGTTAAATTCCACTTATTCACTTCTTGTGTGTTATTACAGGTGGTGCATTTTTAAATACTATCCAGTTACTTAATCTAATTACAGTACCATTTTATTTTCTCACTTTTAGTCTTCCATCAGCCATTATGTTATGCCTCAGAATACTGAGCAAACATCAGCACATATGTATCGAGATGATAAACGTACTATGATACATCCGCTTGTAGAAGAAGTTGATGGATTGGAACTTGCTCGGTTGGCTAGACGATTATGGGATCATAAAAAAACCAAACATGGTAAATCTGTTTGTCCCAATGAAAAAGCTGGAAATAAATCCCATTCAAAGTCGACACCTCTCGAACGTCCTAATGTCTTAAGATTGCACTCTACTCCACAGACTGTTTCACCAGCTGTGGATAAGTCTACAGTGTCGAGTAAGTTGTTTTCACTTAATTCATATTAATTTTGGCACTAGTCTTTCTATTGCACTTCTTAGTCACTGTTTGTGTACCTTCACCCGTGTAATTCTTAATTGAGGTTAACTTTCTTAATGATAATATCCGAAATAATCATTCAATTCTGTCTCATGTGTATTTGATGTTAAATAACTCTGAACATGTTATATGACAGAGAAACATAAATACAACAACCTAGAACTTTGCATAAAAGTGTATCTTTACCATTTATTGTAATTTTCAGCATTATAGGAGGAAAAGACTGCAGAAAGTTAAATATAAGAGTTCGAGCCATTGTAATTTATTTTCAATCATTTCATAACCAGTGTATTCATAAGTCGGTATTTCTTCTTATTCAAACCAATATTAACTTAAACAACGGCTAAAATCGCTATTATGCCATAAATGTGACAATATGTACGTTATCTTTCTACTTTGACTAAAATATTCGACTTCGATTAACACTAATGACTAAAATGGTGATGATAATGATGCTAACAATAGTACTACTACTACGACTACTACTACTACTACTACTAATAATAATAATAATAATAATTTTTTCCGCTGTCCAACACATACGGAAGGAAATCGTTGTTCAGTAAATGGGTTCCGAAGTCTTAGAACCTTGGTTTCAAGACTTGGGAACATTTTGACTTAAAAACGCAGCCAAACAATCTTGAGTTTTTGTTAGAGGCACTGTCATAGCATTCTTACCTTGGTTAGAGCCCAACTGTAGTTGATATCCTGATGTGGTGGTCAGGCTTGTCTGTCGTGATGACCCAACTGAGCTACATTGACTGGAACATATGTTGCTGTATGTTCTACTATGCCAGGCAGGTCGATGATGATGAGTCTAAACGCAGCTACTCGGTCTCTGAGGGCGAAGTCGCACTGCTGACTATAGAGGGCTGTGACAGGAGTAAGGTGTTTTCCTCGGACAACCAGCATCTGCAGCGATGCTGCCTTCCCACAAGGAAGGAGGCAGTTAGAAAAGGTTGACCCTACACATGTCACAACTCAACTCACCTGACGGATTTCCGTCTCTGGGTATAAGGACTTTTAAACAAGAGCGGAGCTAACACTTCAAAAACTTTCATAAAAAGTCCGTGCATGACTGGACTGAAGCAGTTGTCCGTTGTGCTCTGCGATCACGCTCTCAGGTCACTAAGACCAATGCTAACCAAACTTCTTTTTTAGGTTCTTCAAGAAACATCTTTCCATGGTGTAGGCAAGTGGGAAGTGAAATGCGCCCTCATACCCGTAACAGCACACGCGACCAGATCGGTCATAATCAAATCCTTCCTATACCCCATAATAACCATCTTACATCCATGAATAAGCCTTTTCAAATTCCTTTATCACCTGGGGCCTCTGACACAGACGATTTGAATTCACGAGATGTCATTCCTGGTCTCCTGAAACCACTCCCTAAACTAGACGCTGGAACTTCCAATGTTCGGACCTTGTTCCCAATCAGACAACAGGCTTCCTTAGTAAGGGCTTTCGAATCTCGTGCCATCGATGTTTGCAGCGTCTCCGAGACGCGCATACAAATCCGAGTGGTGGTATTCATTTAACCTCAGCATGTCAAAGTAAAGAACCAACTCGATTTACTCTTCTTTGTATCTGGAAGCCACGCTGCTGCTTCCTGGAGCCTAGCGACTTGAACTTTTACCGGCAGATTCGCTTGTTGATTTAGAATATGTGGATGACATAATTCTATTAGGTGAAGACGCTGACAAAATGCAGTCTTCTAACCACCTTAAGCAACAATGCAAGCATGTTTGGCATGCGATTCTCCTCGAAATGAGAAATGTTGCTTCAGTATTGGCTTGTATTGGCACTTGGATTAGTGATAGGGAGTGAAGTAGTCGAGTGTGTTGACCGCTTCACTTATCTTGGTAGTCTCATCAGTCTTGGTAGTCTGGTGACTGACAAAATCTCAGCACACACACAGAAGGCTCGATCGGCTTTTGTCACCTCGTATCACTTATGCCGTCGGCAAGATATCCGTTTGCTGTCTAAAGGACGAGTGTACTGCACAGCAGTTCGCTCTGTCCTTCAGTATGGCTGTGAAACATGGCCAGTCAGAGTTGAGGATATTCGTAGGTTGCTGGTTTTCGATCGTAGGTGTCTCTAAAGCATTGCTCCTGTATCCTGGGACTATCGAGTAGGGAACGGTGTTGTTAGGAAACGACTCCTAGGTAAGGACGGCAGATCAATAGATGAAGTAGTGGAACTTTAACAGTTGAGGTGGTTGGGACATGTTTTACGAATGTTCAACCACCGACTGCCTCATCGAGCTCTGCTTTGTGGTGTAGGAGTGGGTTGGAAGAGAGCTAGGGGCGACCAAACCAAAACACTAGATTGTCCTTCTTGAATCATATTTTCGATCCCTAATCTCCACTATCTCTAATGATTCTAATTCATTTACGACTGAGATTTGGATTGACAATCGCACGATTGTGCTAATGTCGTATGGTAACTTGAACTGATCTACATACGTACAAAGTTCCACGTTGACTGCTTAAGTAGCTTCTTGTGGTCACATACTTGTAAAAATGTTGTTTAATCGAATTCCTATCGTTGAGCTGGGGATTGCATTCCCAATTTATTTTCAAGGGTTCGGAAAGCTGTTGGTAAACTGGCCCATCAAACCTTATTAAATTTTCAAAGAAAGTTCAACTGTGTACGCAATAATATTGATCGAATATTACATTTTTCCACCCCATTCAATCTTTCACATGAAAAGTCATACCCCATAGGTAGTTTAGCTCGACTACGTTTACACATTAGGTAAGCGAAATCATTGTGTCAAGTTAGAGATCGTACTACAGATAGAAATAAATATCTAGCAATCAAAAACTCCTAATGTTATTATTGTATACATACATTTTTATCTAGAACATTAAAATCTGTACTGGATGTGGTTTCAAAGACGATTGTTTATTAGTGTTCATCAGGTGGAATTGCATCTAATGGTTGTTTTCGATTATTTGTTATTGACTGTCAAAAACGTGTTTATCGAAAAACATTTATTTTATTGATTGAAACTGATATGTTTGATGCTAAATGCGTATAGTACATGAAGTGAAAAAGTTATGCTGGCACAGTTTCCCTTTGGCCTAAGTAAAAATATGACTTATTGTCAATCAATCAATCCTCAATGATCATTAAATAAATATTTTGTAAAGTGGTGAATTTTTCTGAATCTTTTCATTTTTGTCGATTGTAAAGGTAAAAATCCATTTTCGAAATTTTATCGGTAGGCAATCGTTTTGCCGCTGTAGACTTATTACCTTTTGTTTAACATTTGTTTTACTTAAATTCCATAAGATTAAGCAGGTGTATTTCAACTACTCAGGTTTCTTGACTTTTTGAACATGTCGTTAACGTTCGTATTTGCAAGGTTCAAGCAAACCAATAAATCTTCTATGTTCATTCCAATTAGTTAAGATCTGTATATATGAATATATGAAAAGTGACGGTGTTAAAGTCTGTCAAAATCAACTTTATTCCTTTCAACAGAACTTTTTTTATTGAATCGATGATAGTCTAACAGATGCACATTTAATTCAAAAAAAAAAATAGTAATCATTAATTTGTGTTGAATTCGATTTTTTCCATTGCCCACAATTAATGCAGACTATCTTTCAGGAGTCCAACTGAATTTATGCTATCTGTTGTGCATCCTACAAAATTTATGAAGCAAATACTGTTTTAGGTAAATTTTAGTGTTTAGTAAAATGAGTTAGGCTTTCAGTGAATTGAAAAACTGATCGCTGTACGTAAGTTTGAAGACAAAACTACTACCCATTTGGTTTTGGCTGAACTAAACGATTTACCCGTGTAACCTAATAAAAGATTGCAATTTTTCAAGTATATAACTTTCAAGCCAGAGCAATATCTACAGAAGCAGCATCTCCATTGCCTCGTTTCTGTTTTTGCCGTTACTTTTTCTTTGATACTTTTAGTTTCTTCATCAGTTTGATACGGATTCTATTTTCGCCGTATCTTATCGATTTATAATTCGTGCTTACAAATCTAATTTATATCATTCGCTTTGCTAGAAAAAGTAATAAACATATTTTTCTACTTTAGAAAATGTTATTTTATCTTTGAACTTTTGTTCCTCTGTATGTTATTATGCAGCATGTTTCTATTCTTATAAACTATCCACTCTATGTCTGTCCATCATTTTGTAATGATTGCACACTTGCCTATTATTAATAACAGATTTTTTAAATTTGTTGTAACAATAAAGATGATTACTTAATTTTGATAAGCGGTATTTTCGAACAATGTTCACTTGCGTGAACCGCCTAACTATATGAGTATTCTGTTGATTTTTATAGTACAAAGGTAACAACATGTATCCTAACATCGTACTTTAGTACGTAGTATACCCAGGTACCGTAGGTCACTTTGTATAGTACATCAATAGTCCTATGCTGTACATTAAGACATAATAAAATATTCTTGTTTCGAACATATTGTATATCGTCTAATCTCATCTGAGTAAACAGTGTGTTTTCTCTAGAGCTTACAAGTTTACTAAACATAATCAAATAAGCGAACTTTGTCTAAATATGAAATCTCGAAGCAAAACACATATATAAATATACATATATATGCATATGCTCGGGTTCTTTTAAACAGACAACGTAGTTCTGAGTCAGATAAATTACATGAAAGCACATAATAATGGTATACGATTCTATGTAATGCTCATTAATTAAACTGCCGTTGTATAATTATGATACCATTCGTTGCAACATGTCCATCAGTTTCCATTACTCCGTACAAATGAATTTCATTTTTTCCGTGGGTCTTATTTTGCCGTCAAATTTGTTAGGATTTTCAGTAACTTTCTTTAAAGTTAAGCAGCTGTTACCGACTGTATGTTTCAAATATCTTAATTTCAAGCTGCTAAATTTACGAGGTGTCATTTTTTTATCTGCTACTTAAAAAAATGTTATGAGACGGCCAGATTTCAAAATTGCCGTATGTTCGAATGAATTTTACATTTCATCATTCTATTTGAACGACTAGTGATCATCAATCATAATATTATACAATTGTTTCCAACGCCAATTTTTTTTACACAATCAGTACTACAGCTGTAGATGACGCTTTAATGAGACGTGAGAGAAGTTTTCTACTTAAACTGATATGAGTAGCTAAAGGCGAAAACAGGAATTTTCGAAATAACACCCAACAAATCTCAACTAATCAATTTTTGATAGTGAACTTTTACACAATGTTAATACATCACAGGACCACTAAAATTTCGGAATTTTTCAGCATTTCTTCGTGTTCTTTCATGTCATTATGCATTTATTTATGGAGAGATTTTTTTGTAACATTAAGCTGTAAATAGCAGAACAAGTTGTCCTAGATGTAAATATCACGTTCTCCCATATCTTCATTGGAGTAGTAACGCTTTGGATGAGTTGGAACTATAGAAACCAATATATTACTAAGCTTGAATATGCGCTACCTTTTTAGCTTTCGAGAAAGGTGGTTCACGCATTTTTTTTGGACTGAAATTATCATTCTACTAGACTCGATTGAGTTTACCTATCAGTTTCTTTATTTTCTTGGATTTATGCAAAAAAAAATCAATTTTGTAGTGAATAATCATCATTAGTTTAGGGTAGATGTGATCAAAATCGCCCAGTTACGTTACAAATTACAAAGGATCACCCTTGTTGGGAAAAAACGATGACTGACCTCCACGAGACACTGCAAAGTAACTGTGTTATCAACTCAAATCAGTGACTATTTATCAAGTTTAAAAAGTGTTCATCCTTCGATTTGAAATTTCTTTACTGTATGCATGAAGAAAATGTTAGTTTTATCTACAGTGATGGTGAAAGGTATAAAACTTCGTAAAAATTGATTATTGGCAAGAATCATCAAATAACGAATATACAGCAAGCTTTCATCTGAGATCAATGCATCAGGGTTGATACGACATCCGAAGCTCAACCATTTCACTTCATACTATCAGCATAGAACAACCTTAGATCACAGGGATATATTGCATGCCAAACATTTTCAAATTTTATTTGACTCATTTTAAAGCTCCTACTATTTTGAACAGTCGTTTCTGATATTATCAATAATCAGTTGATAATTATAACTTGATAAGACTAATATCATATTCTGATATGATTCATCGTTTATTTTGCGAGTCGTTTTATCTTTTATATGTTTGGCAGTTAGTTATGTCCAAAGATTTAACGTTCGCATCGTCAATTGATTTCATCACTGTTGAAGATGGTGAAATTCTCAAAATTTAGAAAAGACAATAGTAATTAATACGATTCATAATACATAATGAAAACCAATTTCTCTTATCGGATCAATAACCTTCTATTGAGGTGTATGAAAATCCGTAATGTACGAATACTGTATTCGTTATTGTACATTTCTTCGAAATAAAACGAGATTTAACTACCTTTCAATTAAAAAAAAAGATATTTGCATGCATTAGTTAGTTGTTAAAACTTAATAAATAAAAAAGGCAATTTTAATGCAAGTATTATTTATTCAGCCGTATTTAGTTTATGCTGACTAGTGTTAATTAGTGAATGAGCTGTAGTTTATCACTCATCAACGATGCACCAACTATTAACACAGTAATTTTCACAATAAATATTTGTGAAGTAAAATGTTATAATTTCATACAAACTCATTTATAACTTGTGTTGTGTGTTATGCATTGTAGTTCAATTTTCGAAATGAATATTCAGCGACATGGCAACTTAGTTGTAGTTGAACTCTTAAACACATATCCATTGAAAATACTAAACTCATTGCTAGTATTTATTCTTCATTTAGAAGCTGTATAAATGCAAACAACTTCATTTTAATCATTTTAAGAAATTTAATTTCGAAAAGAGAAAAAAAATAAAACACGTCAAAAGTTTTTGTTGTTTTCTCGTCGCCCAAATGTCGTACTTTTAGCTTTGTGCTATTCCTATTTGTCCATTATTCAGGCTAAGTGAAAATTGTACCCGTTTTGGTTAAGACATGTAAAATTATATTATAACAAATGTTACAGTTCTAATCACTAAGGTTACCGATGGGAGCTGAGTCAATCAGGGCCGAGCAAGAAGGTCAGTGTGGTGATTGGATAATGCAACATTTATATTTTGTCAACCTGGATCTCATTCTCAGTAAGCATCTTAGATGTGTGTGTGTGTTTTTTTCGGGGGTGATATTCATGACATCTAGGCTAACACAACATTGTTTTGCTTTATTATTTGAATGAGTTTTATGATAGTATTATATCAATTTACACTATCATTTACAATTCCTAAATAAAATGGTTTAAATGACCAAAAATGCATTAGCTTTTTATTCGATAATGGTTTTCAAGTACGGGATTAAATTCTGTCAACTCTATTTCCTTCTTAATTCAAAACAGAGCTCGGATTTTTGTTGTTGTGAAACATTTGGCTACTCAACTACCACTGATTTACATGCTGACCTGATCCTACTCACTGTCTTATAAAATTAAAAAAAAAGAATCATGTAGTTTTCGTTGCACTTAGATAAATGATTGTGAGTTTGGCTTTATATTTTGTTAACTATTTTTACCGAACATATTACGACTTGTGTTGTTTATCTTAGTAGAAAAATTTACTCATTATATTGGAATTGGCAGTTTAAGTTTAGTAAACTGAGAACTTTTTCATTTTCAAAGTATTGTAATATGAACCATTGTTGCGTATAATTGTAACTTACCGCCGAGTTTTTGGTAGTTTATGTGGTAATTCATTCAATTAGAACCATTAGTAGAAAATTGTTTATTCGCTTGATTGCTTATTTGTCAAAAAAGAATTGCATTTTGTTACACGCAATCAAATAAAAATGCCTTGATTTTACAAAATTTTTGTTTACTTACCACTGAAAATAGTTTTTGTGTGATGCAATTAATTTTTAGTTGCTTGGTACTCCATAACCAAATCCTTACACTTTTTGTTTCTTGTGTTTAACAACGCCTTGGAAAAACGTTAGACGATATCGACTTTGAGTCACCCGATATGGATTCGGCTTTTGATTTAGCGTGGGATCATGAAATGGGTAAGTCTACATATAAGTCTCTCTCTCTCTCTCTCTCTCTCTCTCTCTCTATATATATATATATATATATATATATATATATATATATATATATATAGTGATGTCACTCATATTTATGTTGTTAGGAGTTTTCATGAAATATGTCTGGAGTCACTGGTTTTCCAGTGGTTTAAAGGCGTCAGGAGTTCTCATCACGATTCAGTCAATCAGTAACATTAATTCCTTCTATTGATCACTATCCAAACAGGTGTTCTTGCTACTAATAAAATTTACTGACAAATAAAGTGAATCTGTTAATATTGTCTCTGGGTAGTTATTGAGCGAAACTAGAGTTGATAATGTTCGTAGCTACTTTAGTATTCTGACTTCAGTGTCCGATTAATATCGTAAGAAGTGTTCATCGATTTTCCCTTGGTGTTTTTCATTGCAACTTTAGTCGATACAATGTGACTGGTACGAAGATTTTCAAATCAGACCTGTATTATGCGATGACTTGCTCATTTAGTAACAACTAGTTGACCAATCAGAGTATCTTGTTTTCCTTAATCTTCTCAATTAATAAATCGTTATTTTACGATCAAAGTATTCCTAACACCGAAATGATAGAATTTATATAGCATTATGTATACTAATGGGTGAAGAGCAACCAAAATATCTCGAATTTTTGTTAGAGACACTGCAATCGCATCCTCACCTTGGTTAGAGCCCGACCGTAGCTGCTACTTTCACTTGGTGGTCAGGCTTGCCTGTCGCGATGACCCAACTGACCTACATTGGCCGGAACATATGTTGCTGTATTTTCTACCGTGTCAGGCAGGTCGATTGGAGAGCGATGAGACTAAAAACAGCTACTCAAGGTCTGAGGACGAAGTCGTACTGCTGACTGTAAAGGTATGTTACAACAGTAATCTGTTTCCCTCAAACAAACAGTGATGCTACCTTCTCACAAGGAAGGAAGCAGTTAGAAAAGGTTGACCCTACACATGTCACACCTCAACTTACCTGACGGATTTCCGTCTCTGGGTATAAGCAGCAGGATCAGACAACATTCCAGCAGAGGCAATGAAAGCAGACGTGGAAGCAACTGCAAATATATTTCACAAACTCTTCAAGAAGATTTGGAATGAGGAACAAGTACCATCAGACTGGAAAGAAGGATACCTGATCAAAGTACCAAAGAAAGGCGATCTTAGCAAGTGTGAGAACTACAGAGGCATCACTGTTCTCTCAGTACCAGGCAAAGTTTTCAACAGGGTATTGTTAAACACAATGAAGGACTTCGTAGATGCCCAACTTCGAGATCAACAGGCCGGATTTCGCAAGGATCGATCGTGTACTGACTGAATTGCAACATTACGGATCATTGTGGAACTGTCAGTTGAATGGAACTCACTACTTTACATCAGCTTCATTGAATACGAGAAAGCGTTTGACAGCGTATACAGGACAACACTACGGAGGCTTGTTCGACACTACGGCGTGACTGAAAAGATAGTCATCACCATACCAAACTCTTATGATGGATCAATCTGCAAAATTGTGAACGGAGGACAGCTCACAGATTTGTTGGAGGTGAAGACCGGTGTCAGGCAAGGTTGCTTACTCTCACCGTTTCTCTTTCTCCTGGTGATTGACCGGATTATGAACACGTCAGCATCTGGAGGGAAGCACGGTATTTAGTGGACAGCTAGGACTCAGCTGGACGATCTGGACTTCGCAGATGACCTGGCTCTTCTATCGCACACGCAACAACAAATGCAAGAAAAGATGACCAGTGTAGCAACAGCCTCAGCAGCAGTAGGTCTCAACATACATAAAGGAAAAAGCAAGAGTATCCAATAGAACACAGCATGCACCGACCAAATCACTCTTGATGGAGATGTCTAGGGGGACGTTAACACCTTTACATATCTGGGCAGCATCATCGACAATCGAGGTGGATCCGATGCAGATGTGAGGGCGCGGATCGGCTAAGCAATGGCTGCATTTTTACAACTGAACAACATCTGGAACTCCAAACAACTTTCAACCAAAACCAAAATCATAATTTTCAATACAAATGTCAGGACATTTCTACTGTATGGAGTGGAAACTTGGACGATTTCGAAAGCCATCATCCAGAAGATACAGGTATTCATTAACAGTTGTCTGCGCAAAATACTTCGGATCCTTCGCTCAGATACTATCAGCAATAACGTACTGTGGGAGAAAACAAACCAGATTCCAGCGTTGGAGGAAATCAGGAAGAAGCGGTGGAAATGGATAGTACACACACTGCGAAAAGCACCCAACTGCGTTACAAGAGAAGCCGTCACTCGGAACCATCATGGTCAAAGGAAAAGAGGAATATTTACTTACACCTGTTACCCCCAACGGAGCATAGGCTGCTGACTAGCATTCTCCCGCCTGCTCTGTCCTGGGCCTCGCTTTGCAGTTCTGTCCAATTTTTGTTCATTCCTCTTATCGGCTTAATGTGTTCCTTGGCCTTTATGATCTAGTTAACTGTTTTATCCATGTTTATCGTTTGTAACGCTGTTGATAATTTTCCTATTTTGTTTTATATAAACGGTAGTCTACTTACGTGTATTACTTTGAAAACTTTAGACTTAAATATTTCCAATGCTGAAGTGAGAAGACCGTATGGTAAGCATGTTCCACAATGCAATATTTCAAGTGAGTTCAATAGTGAAGCACACTGTAGTCAATTTCTGGCTCGTAATCGGATGTTCGACTCAAAACAAAAATCACCACCACCACCACTAAAAGCAACCGCTTCTATGTGTAGTCAAACTCCATCAGTCGCTATTCTCCCGGTACGAAATGATCATTTTCGTCCTGTTGCAGACAATCGATGGATTTCAAGTGATAGATTGCCTGGGAATGCGCGTAGTGCTGTAAAAAAACCTATACCATCAGAAACTGCTATACCATGCTCCAACTTAATCTTATCGCCTACATATAATACTAGTAATGTTGATTTTGAATACAATGCTGCTGGTAAAGTTACGCCTAGACTTGGATTTCCAGACAGTCTATTTGATTCTGGATTTGTTGGTGGTGGCGGCGGTGGTGGCGGCGGCGGCGGTAGTAGCAGTAACATGATAAGCAGTTTTTCCGATTTCGATGAGATTGATGAAACTGTTATTATTGGTACAGAGAAGGTGAAACCGGTAGAAAATCTAACCACCGACTTGTCTACCGATCAGTCAAGTGATTTTCTTTGGGAACATGAATTATTCATTCCGCAAGCATGTTATTATTATGAAGCGAAAGGTGTTCACTGTCCAACAACTGTATAATAATACAACAAACTATTATTTTGTAACAACAACAACAACTACTACTACTAGATTAGTTGCAATTATATTGTTTATTGTTTTAACATAAAATTGAAACAATGAAAGAAAAAAACACACAACCAAACTTTGCGTCAATGCAAACCGAGAGAAGAGGAGGAGGAGGAGTCAGTCACCCGATTGAAAATCGATTATTTATCTATTTATTTACTTATATCATCACTGGACACATTCATTCAAAATAATAATTTATCTTGTTTTTTTGCTTTGTTTTTGATATCAGTTGATTGTTGTTGTTGTTGTTGTTGTTGTCATTTTATGAAAATCAATATAAAGGTGTGAAAAGTGAACTGCTACTCTTTGTGTGTGTGTGTGTTGTCGTTGGTGGTGTTGATTGATTGATTGATGCGGATTGTTTGCTTTTTAACTTCTTTCATTTTCTTTTTTTTTCTTCTCAAAGAAAGAACAAAAAAGAAATTGTTTCCTCAAACCGGTTATTTTTTTGTTTTCTTTCTTTCTTTCTTTCTTTCTTTCGATCGACCACCTTAGTAGTCACACAAATCTTAATCCGTTGTTCGAATTCTCTCTTTCTGTCACATCTTAGTTGTTTTGTTCCTTATCTAAACTCAATATATATATATATATATATATATATATATATAGAGAGAGAGAGAGAGAGAGAGAGATTTATTTATTTGCCCTACTCTCATAACGGCTTGCATTTAATCGACTTACTTGTGTTTTTGTTTAGTTGGACGTACCACAATTTTTCTGTGTGTATCCATCGATTGTATGAGTGTGAAACAGTCTCATTTCATATTATTGACTTTCTATTCATCAAATTTACTTTTTCTGATATTCTTTCTGTTCATGCTGTCGATTGAAATTCTTCAGTTTGGTTAATTTATAATTTTGCTAAATTGTTCTGCATGACTCCAGTAGGCGTGTTATGCATTTTGGTCTTCAATGAAATTAGGCTGATTAATAATGATGACCTATATATATATAACTATATATAACTATATATATATATATATATTTATATATGTAACTTTGTTGATTTCTTTTGTTTAATTTATTCAATTGGTATTTAAGCGATGTAAATCATGCATTTTTAATTTATCTATTTTGTGTTTATCTTTATACACACACAAGTATAATGTGATGATCATGCAGCATTTCTCTCAAACGTATCATTCTTGTAACAGGCGATAAACAATGATTGAACTCAATTCTAATTTAGCTTATTTTTTGTCCAATATTGCTTTGACACACAGTTCTATTGACAGTTTTTTTTTCTTTTGTAAAAAGAAAAAAAAAATAAACTTTTATAGTTCTACTTAAGAATCACAATATGCTGAGATTGTCATATTTATATTAACGTTATACTGTGTTATATCATCAACTCTGTACTATTGTAAAGTATGATATTACAATCAATATTATCTTGTTAGAAATGATGTTTTTCTGTTATATTTGTAATGCAGTCAGTCTGCTTAGCGAAATATCTCAGAAATAATCTGATATTTATTCGGTTAGTATTGCTTTTCTCTTGTTAAGTGATATTAATTTTTATTTATAATTGTAAATTGAAGCAGTATTCAAGATCAACCACTTAATTTCTCCTTCCTTGTAAGTTCTGCACTGTTCCATGCGAAGAAATCATTTTTATGCGTTTATTTTCCGGATTAAATCAAATCGGTCTGTTTTAGTGTATGGTGTGTTTAAGTGGTTACTTCAACCACCGAACTTGTATGTACAGGTTGGTTGTGTTTTTGAGAATTCACAGCTAGATTTACCTGTATTATAATGATCATGATCACTTTAGGACTTGAACCCAGTACTCACTGAAGCACGATTTAATAATTCATGAGGTATCAGGTTGCTTAAAGATTATTCTTTCTTCTTTGAGAGAGAAACACTAACAATTTCATATATTCCCTTATTGAGTTGCAAGAAAAGACCTGATGTTTTTGGATAAATAGGATATTATTTTGTGGCGCCTTTTTCCTTTCGCTTCTTATGTCATTCTGGAAAATATGTGATCCATCAAAATGCAATTGTTTTAGACGATTAGATAAAAGTAAATCTGTATACGTTATTAATAAGGTCTTACAACATACAGTATGTCTAGGTTGTTTTTGTGTGCTTATTATAGTATCTAACACTCCATACCATTATCACTAGGTTTAATGGCGTGATAGTATATAAATAGATTGGTAAATAAGAGATTGTATTCTGTTCATAATTTAAATCATGAACTGATATTAGCTAGACCACCATTAGGAAGCTGGAACCACTGGATAGCCGTTCCTTACAAGCACAAGTCGTTAGTATCGCAATTTAATTTTAGTGTATTTGGTTATAATACTTTAACGCTGGTCTGGAATTATCGTCTAACATTACCTTTATTACATAAAATATCCATTGTATGGCATATTATGAAACGGAAACTTATGAGATTTCGACTAACTAAACTGTAATTAAATCTGAGATCGACAACTAGGTCCAATTATTATCGCATGGCTATTTTACTTATTGATTGGCTAATTGTTATTATCTGTGTATATTAAATTCCATACCCCACCTGACCTGCTTCCTTGACGTAGTGGTCGGGCTCGCATACCATGCCAGGCAGGTCGATCAGAGAACGATAAAACTAAACGCAGCAAATTAAGGACTGAAGGTAAAATTGTACTGCAGACTGTAGAGGAGTGTGACAACGGTAAGGTGTTTCCCCCCTCAAACGACCAGCATCTACAGCGATGCTACCTTCTCAAAAGGAGGGGGTCAGAAAAGGTTGACCCTAGAAATGTACAGCTCACCTTACCTGACGGATTACCGTTTCCGGCGGTAAGGCCATATGAAGGTTGGAGTTAAAACCTGGAAAACTGTCTATAGAAAGGCCGTGTGTGACAGGTTTTTAGCAGTTTTCCCTTGGGCTCTGCGGTCATACTTCCAGGTCACTAAGACCAATGCTTACCAAACTTCTTTTTCAGATTCTTTAAGAAATATCCTGCCGTGGTGTGGGAAGTTAAATCCACCCTCATACCCGTAACAGCACACGAGACCGAAACGGTCGCATTCAAATCCTTCCTATCCCTCTTAATAACTCTCCATGAGTAAACCTTCTCGCATATATTTATCACATCACGCGACTAATGTTATTGATTTAAATTCACGAAATGCTATTCCTGGTCTCTTGTAGCCTCACTTTAAACTACATGTTAGATCTGTAATGTTTATACCTTCTGTCTGATAGTAAACCAGACTTCCTTAGCTAGGACTTTATAATCTTGCGCCATTGATGAGTGCTGCGTCTCTGAAATGCACACAGGTTCCGAGCATAGTCATTGGTTTGAAATCACATTGTCAAAATAAAGAACCGTCGCGATTTACGCTCCGTGTATCTGGAAACCCTAATGAAGCTCTCCGTTGCCTGTCTGGTCAAGGTACAGTATTGGGTTCTAAGGGAGAACTAGCTCTCTCACAATGGATTTAATGTTTTGTCAGGCACTGCATAGCATTTTGTTCATTCTTTGAAATGAAGATAGGCATAGGATATAACATGCCAGAAAATCATGATCTCACAATGAATAGTAAAGGGTTTCTCAATGAATGATTAGGAATAGGAGGATCGTTTCTCGTGGCTAGCTATTTTACTACAAAACCCATAGGTTACATTTTGTCAGTGAAGTAACGATATCACTCGTTAAGGTAGTTAATCTAAAGAGTTTATATAAATTTTATTCGTTGTTCACACTTAGGATAATAAGTGTTGTCTAGCTTTTGTTAGCATCTTGAACAGATTGTTTCAGTGTAGACATTTTCTTAAAAGTTCTACTATCTTTGCGTCTTGGTAAGCAGTGGAATTCATAATGGGTGTTTGGTCTCATTCGGGACTGGTCGACTGAATGTACCTCGGTTCCCAGTGTTGATATTCACAGTGATAACTAGAACTAGTGCTTATCTCTTAGTTATTGTGTCTAGCTAGTCACTAAACGGTTCGACTAGTTTGATGCTTATGTGAAAAGGTCAGTGTAGTCCTATTGTTTATTCAGGAGTGGATTTTAGCCAGTCTTGAAAAAACGGACTAAATGAATCCGTGCTTGCTACGATCCAAATAGATGAAAATTTGTAAGAAAGTGGCTTTATCTAAGCAAAATTAGGTCCTGATTATCAACAATGGGATTACGAACCTTTACAATCAAGTCTGCATAAATAACGAACTTATTATTAAGTGAAGACGATTATATAGATTCATGCGTAAGGAAAGTATCGAGTATTACATAGACCAGTTGTTTATACCTTTTTGATGTATACTAACTCTAGACTTGTTCGAAAAGAAGTAACGAATAACCTAGTTATAAATTATTCTTTTGAGTCAATAATCACAATGCAATCAATAGACTAAGTCACTACACACGATAAGCAAAAGTACAATGTTGGTAGTAGGAAGACAGGTGTACTTACTGTCAGTAGTAAAAATAATAAAATACAATAACAAAAGTTTTTCCAATTGTTCAACACTGGAAATAGTAGGTCAAACTTGGATAAATAGACAAAATAATCATTAATAAACATTAAAACGATTACGTAATAAGTTCTAAAGAATGTAAACGGGAAGAGGCAGAAAATTACAAGCAAATACAGGATGTGAAAATAATGCTAATAATAACAAAAATAAAATAGTTTTTAAAATGTTAGTTAAGGTATATCCGGCCATGGTAGGGATGAGGGTGTCACGAATTTCTTCTGAACAAATAATTTTATGTTGAATGTACGAACTCCTATGGCTTCTGCTATATGTAGGAGACGGGATCGAACTTTGAGGTATACGATAGATCACTCGAAACGATGCAGATTTATCTACGATATGACCACTATCAACCAAACGTGCCAAGATAGAACTGCGTATTGTTTTTAAATGGCCCTTCGTAAACCATGCTGGAAGGTGTTCACTCATTCGTTGGTTAAGTTGCCTGGTAGTACGCCGGATATAGCTATCTTCAGAGGAGCAGCTGAATTTGTAAATGCACATAGAGGAGGTCAACTCAGGTAACTAATCCTTCGTTTGGGTAGACATCGCTGGTCAACTTGAGAAGCTCAACGCAATTTTGGCTGCGTAGAGTGTTCTACTTTCGCCGTCTTCTACTTCTTTATTTACATTAAACGTATACTTTTTTATGAACGCTCTGGCGCAGCCGATCGGGGTTAGTGAGCTGTTGATAAATTCCAGCTTCTGACTTCAAGTATCCACTGAACAGCTCTGCTAGTGAGACATCTAACCAAATCTCCCTTGTAGTGGATAGGTGTAAAACTATAAAAGTGAGTGTATTGGCAAGCAGAGGGTCTTTTTCTGTACACGCTTCTACTTAACGAATCATCACTTCGCCTACTTAGTGTGACGTCAAAAAAATTCAGCTTTCTATCATACTCCTCTTCACCAGTGAAAGTGATTGCCGGGTGTACACTGTTGAATTGTTCTAGTTTTCCTTTACTAATGTTTTGATCTACAATAATGAATGTGTCATCGACGTACTGGCAATATAGATCAAGTTTCTTAGTAGTCTCAGTAAGTTGTTCATTTTCTAACTTCGCTATGAAGAGATCAGCTAGAACTGGGCCTGAAGGTGAGTCCATGGCTATCCTGTCAATTTGTCTATAATAAGTATTGTTGAAGACGAAATGGACATTCATCTTAAGAGCAGTTCTTTTAGGAAATACTCAGGCAAGCCAATGTTGATTTGTTTTAACATTAGCTTGCATATGAACTCAGTAGTCTCGATAATTGGTACGTTGGCAGACAAAGATACCAAATCTATAATGAGATCACATTTTTCATACTAACATTCATATTTTCCACTTTGAAAGTGAAATCAAAAACGTCTTTTACACTCCTTCGTACAACTGATTCCCATCACTCCATACTTCAGTTTATAACGAAAATGGAAAGAGGAGTATACTATTTCCTCAATACATAGTGAACAATTATTGGTTTTAAGAATGAGTTTTTAGACGTCTCACCGACTTTTATCGTTGTTTGTGTCCACGTTTGTACAAATTGTAACATTTCATTGCCATCTTGATACGAATGATCATGTGATAGTTACTAAGATATTTGTGAGTTTGATAACTATACCACTGTAAAAAATGATTCTACTCTCTCTCAGATATCATTCGAGACCAACGATACCTACGAATAATTAGTACCCATCTTTACTAAATCAAGGTTAATAGGTCGAAAATGAACATTTAGTAACCATTTTTGTTTCATAAGATGAATTATATTTGGGATTGTTTTTTTAAAGTTGGTGAGTTGCTAAAACGTTTCATTCTAGCGAACAATTCAAGTTAGGTTAATGTATTGGATGATAAAACATGTTCATTCATAGATTACTTTAATTGCGAACGATATACGATGATAACTATTTATTAATCTATTGAAATAGGAGAAAAAACGTTTTACATGAATTTTGTAATCTGATTAAGAATAACATTTATTTGACAAGCATGTACACGTATGCATTCAGCTTACTACAAAAGTTGTCTAAACTGAAATTCTTACTGGTAAACACAGCGGGAGGTTAGAATACTTGAGAATACATAAATGATCAATTTTAACATATCTACCTAAACTGTTTAAATATCTTTGTCTTGAAGAAAGGAACGAATGGTAAGATCTAATTGCACTGCCATTGCATTTTACCAGACACTTTGATTATGTACTTCAAATGATCAATGTTTATTGTGAATTTGATATCTGGTAAATTCCTTGGAATAAGTGACTTTATATACATGTATATATAAATTTCTGGTGAATCTGATCATGTACCGCATGACTAGAACACTAGGGTTTTATGTTTAAGCAACTTTAATCAACCAGATATAAACAATGAACACTACATATTCATACACACAAAAGACTTTATACCCTATGCCACTTTACAACAAATAAACTGGAAATAAATTTCTTAGTGAAATAAATACAGGTCGCCAATTGTATCGCCTTATAGTGTAGCAAACGTTTTTTCTTCATATGTAACTAATTTAATCGGCTTCAAATGTCGTGTACCAGATGGTCAATAAGCTTTTTAAAGATGATACAAATCTGTTTATAATTTCGCATATAAATATAAACATATATTTATTTCTTCGGATGTTCTTGTGACCATGTATTGCGCAATTGAGGCAAATCTTTCATCGGACAAAATCTACACAAAACTGACCCGTTTTCTGGAATTTCGGATGAAATCTACTAAACACTTATTCAATCTTATAAAAATTCCATTTGGTTAAATGAATACACAATACAAACTGTTCGAGAATTGCATGAAACACTTAAATTTACTGAATAGTAAAGATCAATTTTTATGAAATTGTATTTATTGTAAGATAATTGGAAACAATAATCCATAATTCTATAAAATGCACTGCATCTAACCATTTCATTGAAAAAAACCCGTTGGTTATGTGTAATATGCTTTGAAATCCGCAAGCTTTTCGCATAAAACACTGTTCTTTTCATCCGTTAATGATAGATATAGCCACAAGCATTTCAAAGTCCAGTAAATTATTTAATAGCATTTACCTTTACCTTATGAAACAAATCGTATTTTACACTTTTAGATCACTGATTACTATGTATAAGTGACAAAAGAAAATTGTAGAATTGTCGACATCGTTCGGTATTGGTCGAGCGTAAATTTTATTCGAATCACTTTGTAATCAATTTTATAGGATAGCAGTGAACAATCTGAGCTTTGTTCAATTTATCGAGATCAGAATATTATTTTATGAAATTTACAATCAAATTTATTCATCATTTGATTAACAATCTGAAGTTTGAATTAATTATTAAAACGCAATGGATGAAGTGTTATTACCAGAATAATAAAGTTGATTTGAGGAAACAGCTAAGTTTACACTTAAAAGCATATGGTTTATGTTGTATTCTTTAAAGAAGTAGCTTACACTGAGACACGAAAGGTCAGAAAAATCTTAATTTTCCTACTGATTGCGAGACTATAAATAGATTAAGTTTTTACCACTAATCATTAAAGTCATTTATTTAACGTATCAATTGGAATAATGCCACTCAGATTTCATCATGGACGGCGGAATAATATTTCTGTAAGCATCATCACAAAAACCATAAATCCCAGGACATAAAATAACAGATGGCAATTAAATTTGTAATTCTTCCCTTCAATCAAACATTCACTATTTTTGATTGGAAGAGATTGATTAGATCATTAAAATATCTGGTTCTCAATTACCTATACATACAAAAATGTTTTCGGAAAACAACTCTATCCGAATTCGACCCTATGGACATAGTTTTGTTTAGCTTTTACGAGAGAAAGGGTGAATGCGGGCATTGTTGTTTCACAACGGTCTTCAATTGGAATTACTCTGTATGTTGCACTCAATCTCGTCTGTCGTAAAAATTCTGCAACCCAGTGACCATTTTGTTAGGTACACCATTGTGTCATCATATCCACGCTATCAAATGCATTCACGCAGTCAAGGAAGTAAATGTATATTTATGAGTTCCATTCAACTGACTGTTTAACAACGAGCAGTAGGTGTTGCGATTTGGTTAGTACACGATCGATACGCACGGAAACCAGCCTGTTGAAGTTGAGTGTCGAGCGAAACATTCGTTCGGTTAAACAACACTGCTGGTTACTGATAGTAGAGTGATACCTCTGTTTCTTTCTTTGATATCTTGATAGGGTAACAAATAGCACTGGATGGCATTCATTGTAATTCCCTCCTTTGCTTTAGAGGATGATTTGATGATGCTGGGTGCATGAAGTTCCCATCACATAAGTGCTCTGGGGTCGGCAGTAACCTGAGGTACTCAGGTGGTCTTATTTAGTATTTATAAGACGTCAAGCCCTATTAATTAGTAAATAAAAGATAAACATTGATCCTGATGTTTTGTTAAAAAGTTGACTGATTTTATGGTTTTGGTGCTAGGAAATTCAAGTAGGCGAAGGATAAGACTGAAAGTAATGCTTAATTTATGCGACGTATTTCCTGGAGCACTCAAATAACCAGGTGAATATAGGGAATAATTATGAAGAGACTGCATGACCAAACAACACACCAGGGTTCCTACTCAGTTGATTTGGTGGTGAAATCATGAAAATAATCGATTTTCAAGAAGGCGGATTCACTTATCTTAATCCAAAAAGGTAAGTATTTTCGCATTTACATTTCTATCCAATCAAATTTCTAGAGAAGTAGGTGGTTAATAAGAAATAAAAATACTTTAGGTAAAGTGAGTCGCTAACAATATTAATACTAAATCAGTGACTCATAGTTTGGAAGTCAAATATGAAATGTTAAGGCAGGAACTATAAACGGAGCAGTGTAGTACGTGAAAATGATGTTTTCTTGATAAACTCAGACATATGACAAATGCAACGGTACGCAAACTACCGTCAAGACCTTGAACAGTTACAGTAAGATAAGCTTGGTAACATAAAAGAAAACCAACTTACCAACAAACTCAATGGGACATGAATAGGCTACCAACATGGTCACACGGATATGAGTTGTACTTGAGTAATTCATTTAATTCTCGATTACAGAAAACAAACGCCATATTAAGAGTAATTTTATATTTCTGGTTTTTTTTACCAGCTAGTACACATGTAAGCTGGGAAGGTGTGTGTGTGTATGTGTGAGCAAAATAAATGAGATGAACAAATTGAGGAATAAACGATAATAAATAACGAGAAAACAACCAAAACAAATACGAGGTTCCAGATAAGTTGTTGGACAGAAATATATAAATATGGTACTTCCAGTCATGGTCAATCTTCCTAATCAAATAATACTTAACAACAGAAAATACAAGAAACATAAAAAAGACTCATTAGTGTAAACCTGTTTTGACCTTTTTTTGTAGGAAACATAAAATAACAACAAGGGAACAACAGATAACTAGTGAGAGAAGCAAACAAACAAATGTGACAGATAGGCATGGCATCACCGAGAAAAGACTTCAAACTACAAACATTGTATATTCTTGTCGACGAATCAGTGAAGAAACCAACCAACAGTTCAGTGTTAACTAGTATCAGAGAAAAACAGACTTGCATTTAAATGGGCGCCTATGAAGTAGATTATATTAATTGATTAAAATAGTGTACCAGGAAGAGGATTTACCAATAATATAGTGATAATAGTCCAATGTAAAGCATTGCATTCAGCTTACTGATTGATTTTTAATTACACATAAGTTTAATATAAACACAAAACATGCTTGTAATTAGGAAAAGCAATGTTTCCATAATATAGAAACTGTGCAACTGGTTTTTGGAATAAAAGAACATTTTCTTAAAATAAAGAGAATTCATATAAAGGTTTTTTTAAAAAAAAAAACAACAACAGATGTATTGAATTATGTTGCTTTAGTTTACTGGAAGCATACAGTAGTAAAAACTGAATGTAGTCATTAAAATAAAAAACAAAACAGAAATTATATATGTTGAAAAAGTGTTAGCACCCCCAAATGAAAAAAGATGTTGACAAATTTGACTAGGAAAGTTAAATTCACATTACTGTCTCTTTTTTTGCCCAGAGCTGATGAACACTTGTATACACACGTAATTTTGGTGGACAAAGTTTCAGGAGGGCACAGCTCATGAATATTCGAACGACAAAAATTGTAAATATTATCATTGATTTCTGTTGAAATAAATATAAGTAGTTAGTTACTTTTTTTGTAATGGGGAAGGATAAAATAGGATACTCACTATGACAAGTACAAATAAAATGTGTATTTTTTTGGGGGGGGGGAATCTAAAGAGACAAACAACAGGAACAAGATATACGAATACGAAATAAATTATTCATCCACAAGACCACAACATTAATGAAAAAAAAATTAGGCTTGACAAACGATTGTACACAGAAGAAAAGATTAGAATGTTATCCGGACGAAACAATGATAAATATTATTAAATATCCAATAAATATGAAGCAGTGAAAGACATGCATGCTTGTTTGGAAAGCATAATTATGTAACAACAATGAGACTGAAATAAAGCATCATAAAACAAAGATTGTAGAGAAACAAAATATATATATGCGATTCGACGTAAAAAGGAATCACGAATAAATTACAACATTACAACAATGTCACACCAGTTTTATTGAACATAAGCGCAAAGATTTAAAAATGAAGTAATAAAGGAAAACAAATACAGAAGGATACAAGAAAAAAGCATCACAGTCGATTACAGATGGTGGTGTAAAAGTGTGCAATGTGTGTAAAATGTGAATAGGATTTTATGCTTTTGGAAAAAAAGTCATGATCAATGAGAGACCATGATACGGAGTCGAGAAGGAATACTCAGTAAATTAAAAAACAAAAAAAACAAACTAGATATCAATCAAGTGAACTGAGATACACATAAGTGTTACAGTGAAAAGAGGACGAGTGTCGATATTATCAAAAGATGCAAAATGCGCACTAAATGTAGCATGGACATCGCATTTTTCCTGTTTAACAGTGAGTAAAAAGCAGATATTATAGTCTGATTAGACAAGTAGTCATAAATTAGGTGGTGGTATTAATGTAAGCCGATGTTAGAGTACAGTGATTCCGACAATCATCACATGAAGTGGTGCAGCAATCTGAATTCCTTACAGAGAAACAATGTAATATTTTTATTTTGTGAGTATTCTCGGCAAATCAGTAATTAAGAGAATGAAATCACTTACTACTTGATTACCAACTAAGAACAAATGAGTAAAGTGGAATGTCAGGTGTTTAATCCCACACTTATGAGTATGATAAATCAATGTGACTAAATAGGTAGATTAACGAGGATACGAAGCAAGAATCCGATTGCACATACAAATCAACCATCAAATAAGTGAACATTTAACAGACTAAGTGACCACATATCGTATTTAAAAAAAAGAAAGGAACTGGAGAACTAGTGTGCATATCAACAGTATGAGCAGAGTTTGGTACAGACGAAAGAAAAAAAAGAATAGGTTTACATTTTTATGCCGATAAACCTGGTTTTCATTAATTTGATAAATTGTGTTAAAATTTTACGAAAGGAAAAAAAAACGCAAAAAAGACAGATGGAATTGATTCAGTATTAAAGCAAGAAATTTACGATATTATATGTATACACATACATACTTTCTTGTCATAATATCTCCCTATGATCTGAGCAATATTATTTTTGACTTTAAAGTGGATAATTGAAGCTAGCTGATCCAGTTGTACTAATATTAGAGAAACCGCCACCACCTGAACCTGATGATAAACACGAACGATGTACATGTACATTCTGCCAGCCACGATCATTACGTCTTACCCAAACACGAGTTTCTTCTGTTTGTTGTGTATGGGGCATACCACATCTATATTTATACAAAAAGGGAAAATATAGTTACAAACAGAGTTGTTACAACTTAATCGTTGACAATGTTTTAAAGACTAACAAAAAAAATGTAAAGAGATAACTAACTCACTTATCAAGGAACTGAGTGAGTCTTGTGTAGGCAATACAAGCTGCATCTTCACCCATTAAATGTACAGTCGGGTTGAGTATACTCGTGTGAATGGCACGAACCACTGATTTCGGAATGACTAGAGAATAGAGAAAACGAATCACGTTAACAATGGAATTCGACTATGAATACATATATATACACACGACTATTGATCTTAATTATACACATTTTGTTAGTAATTTTAAAATCGACAGAGGGAAAAGGGATTGGAAGATTAAGAAATTTTACAATCTTATGAGATATTCAAGGTAAAAACTGTGATTCAATCTTCAAAATAATGGGGTAAAATGTGATGGGTTCGATGAAAAGGAGGATAACTTGTAGGGAAGTTGCTGATCTACTTCCCAAAATAATGCTCACATGACAATGATGGCATTTTAAATTCGATAAATGAGTGCTTACACCTGTAAGTATATCCCATTCCACAAGTGAGATCGTAGGAACCCTAGATGTTTAATTGTTTTGATTACAGAGTCAATAACTTAACCTCCCTACTTGTAGATACTTTAAACTAACACTGTCTCCTGTAAATTGAAGTAATTTGAATAGTAGATAACTGGAACACTATAGACCTGGCTGACATCGTTGTTCTGTGCTCTTTATTACCGTTTTATTTTCTCTAGTTGTAGATAATTTTAAACAATCTGATATGGCACGGGGACCTACATTTCCTGCATCGTTCAATCAGCAACAAGCGGTTTAGTTACAAAAAAATAAGCTGTTTCTGTCTGGCGCCTTAAATTAATTACTATAACATATGTGAAATATATACTGTCTAAACAATTTTCGAACTAGAACACTTCAAACAATGTAACATGACATACCTATCATTTACATTTGAAATTCCTATCTACATCAGGCTGCTCATGCTTGTAAACTGGCATGAATTCTGTAATTATTATTATCATCTTAATGCTAACAAAGATAGCTATTCCAGTCGAGAAAACGTACTAGTCTATTCGTTTGTCCTCTTTGGACTTTCATGATATTTCAAGTGTATAAAAAATATGGTATTAAGTCTCTGATTTTATATACGCTTAGGTATAGAGTAACATTATGAAAAGTCAATAGAGCTTGTGAACCTTCTACTTTGTAATACTCCGCATTTTGAACAGAAGACCGGAATTTCTTTTGCAATTTGATGTAAAAAATAAAACTATACAGATTCTACGATATATTTACACTCATACACTCGACCACTAACATCGTTTTTTGGAATTCACAAACAAAACTATAAAACAAATTGTGTATGTTGGAGTGGTAAACTAACAAGTTGTACAGATTAAAAAGTTATAGTGTAAAAAGCGAAAGCAACAATGTAAACTTTAGCAGAGGTGAGTTAAATATATACATTGACCTACATTATCGGGATAGAAAAGAGTATCAGACTGTACAAACAAGCTGTATCAGTGACAAAAAGAGCTTACTTTGTTCAAAGTAGAACTTGTGGAAATCTGCTCCTTCAAGTAAATTTCCGCATGCTTCTGGACCGAAATAAGTAAACTGAGAATCTAAAAATTTACTGGAATAAAAAGACAGGAAACAATGATTCACAAACACGTATGCTCATAGTGGTAATTATTCCAGAAAATAAAATCAAAAATACTGCCAAATAAGCCTAGTTACCCGGGTGAAAATTTAATTCGATAAAGTAGACATTTAACTGTCTAGAAAAATTTAACATTTCTGTGAACTAATGTTCAATTATGAGATTTATTTGACCAGAGAAATGAGAATCTCGAATAATAGATCTTTTTGCGCTTTTTTAAGGTTTTTACCAAATAACTAAATTCCAATGATTTTATGCAATTCCAAATCCTTTGCCTTTAATCACCCCCGTTAATCTATTTTTTGATACCATTAGCCTCAAAAAGTTATGTCATCTAGTTGTAAAGATATGTTACCGATTATTGAAGCCTGAGTGTCTCGGTTGAAAGATTTTTAAAAGTTTTTACCAATCATATGTCAGTCTTATAATTTCGCGAATAATACATCAGCATAAATATATTGTGACGTATCTTGTTTCTCTCTCTTCATCAATAAAAAAATCAAGACAGTAAAAATTTTGTCTGAATCAGCGTGAATTCAACTGATGTAATCGAATAGAGTCGTTCATCAGAATCCTTAATGAAAACGAAAAGTGAAGTAGGAGACTCTTAGTTAGTTTGTGTGATGCAGCTATATGAATTAAAATTTCACTTGATAAGTGTCAGTGCATTTGTTGTTTGAATAGAATAAACGACATATTTTTTTATAAGTACAAAACTTACAGGTAGAGTTCAAAGTCGCCAGCTGCTGCAGCAGCTAGTAATTGTTCTGTTGCCCTAATGATGTCCTGTTTCTTGCCTGTTTAATAAAAGAAGAGAAAGTAAATAGAGAAGGCAATAAAGGTTTTTGAAATACAAAAATTTTCCGTGTATCTATTAGGGATTAGTGTACAACGCGTAGAGAGTTTCTTCACTTCAAACAAGGTGAATTGTTAGTCATCTAAAATAATAACCCGTGCGTCAACATAAGTAGTAACACGACATTACTATAGTGAGAAGAAAATAACAAGATGAATTGTGACTAAGTTCATACACTGGTAAGATTATAGATACGAAGAAAGTCTAAAGGTACAGAATTTGGTTTTAAATTGAGGAAGGAATCCCTGAAATAAAAAGTACGGAAAAATAGTGAGACTTAAGACAATCAACTAATGCATCTTGTCTACTTAACATTTCATCGTTTATCATGATTATCGAGTAAACGCCTACAAGATGATCTGGACCTGCCAACACGACTCAGACCTACACCCAATGACCGTAAGAGCTGTTTTGAAGACATCTGTGATCTAATACTGTAGACACAGGGCGTCCACCATTAGTTATTAATGAGTTTACACATGGCCATATTATAAAAAAGATGGTAAAACATAATGGTTATTTGTCACGGATAAAAGTTATAATTAATGCATAATGTGTTTAATGTAAAATGTCGAACCCCAGGGATACCGAATTGATAATAATTATATCTCGTGATGGAGGTTCATTACGAGACTACGATACTAGCGGATCTAGCAACAAACCATTGAGCTACTCTGATACGATTTGGTTTACTTGGAAGGCAGGAAGAAGATGAATTGTATAGAACCTGATCCTCGCGGTATGACAGACAGTAAAAACAGAATCACTACTGCTTCTATGACTAAGTAACTAGGCGTTACTTCACGCGTACAAAGGTTGAACGAATTAAAAGCAAGAAAACGTCACGTGGAAAATCGAACGAGGAGGATGCGTGAGCGGTTATCGTTATTGAAAGAATTCCAGCGTCGTTAAATAAAATATTATTATTCACTTTAGCAACAGTGTCCAATAAATAAAGACCAACTAGTGCTGTAAGTTATACAAAGCGGTAATATTTCCTCAAATAGTGTGAGTTTTAGAAAAAGCAGTGATATTGAAGCTCAGCATATATATATATATATATATATATATATATATATATATATCAACTCCGGGGCACAATTTTTTCAAAAAGAACAATGACTAAATAGTACATATACAGTCAATCTGTCAACCATGAAGCGGAAATGAAAGTGTTTTGTCAACTAATGAAAAATTAGAATATAAATTAACTAGACGTAGTATTTACTAAGGCAGTAAAACAACACTAGTAAATTACATTACGAAAAACACTAGACTTGCATATTCTAGTAAGCTAATAGGAACAGTCATTCGCTTAAAAAAAACTAGAAAACTAGTAGTTGGGGTACAATTGGATATTGAATCAGGCAATGAATCATGCATATTATTGAAGAGATACTTAAAAAAAAAACACTGGCACATGACAAATAATAATTCTTAAGCTGGATAAATCGATACTGACAGACAACCTCAACATCACAATATAAAATAGACGAGACACCAGGAAGAAACGAAGGTGTGAGAAAAACAAGAAGTTATGAGACAAATTTCAATTACTTGGAAATAATCACACATTTTTTCAAATTGATAAACCTCAATATTTTCATGTTAATCAGATAGAATATTGCACAGAAATACCATTGCATGATAACTTTCACTTACTGTAGGAGACCATAATAAAAAACATTGAGAACATCAATTACGTTACCAAAGTGGAACATTCATACTTACAAAGAACTAAAATCTATTCAATTTGGAAGTTTCATAGAGATGCAAAGAATTATCAAAGAAACACATTAGAAGAGTTGGATGCAAGGTGAGTGATACGAAAGTGAGGATGGAAAAGTATCAAGAATCTATGGTAGCATTAAAAAGTTCAACAAACAGCTAACATTATAAAAAATGATTTGCAAAATACAAACAGATGATCATTACCTACATTAATAGATCAATAAGACATATTCTGCTGATATGAATAGTCAAACTAAGTATAGCAAACTAACGAGTGAGATAGAATTAAAAATAGGAAGCATTACACATTACTAGGGATTTTTAAAAACGTGTACGGTCGAAATGTCGATGACGCTAAAGTTGGAAAATAACTGATATTTTTCGGGTATTTGAATGTATGGTCAGGGACCAAAGGCAGATCAGTAACTGAACAAACACTGAACAAGTGCTAAATACCGTGTTGTATCAAGGTAGAATGCCATTTGTTCGACTTCGATTGAGGCATTAACTCTTTTTTAATTACCTGGTTATTTTTTTAGAATACATTTTCTTTCAGAATGTGACAGTCTTAAGAACAATAATTCTTAATTATTTATAGTGTGATTCATAACCGCAGTCATAGAATCTATTCTATAAAAAAGCTTTTGAAGTTAAGTCTGTGGAACTATGACAGGTTTTGAGTAAGTTGCAACAATAGACTGTAGATACCAGAGAGTAATTAATAAATGAAATAATTTCTAGTAGCCAAATGAATTAAAAATAAAAAGTTTACAAGTCCTTAAGATTGTTATATAACGGCATTTATTTTCAAAGAGACAACATAATGGTATTATTCAAGACATGGTTATTTATTTATCGATTAATTAATAAGCGAAATACACAAACGACTGATTCAGGTGTCGATTATCTACTACCTGAGATCATAACTTGAAGTGAGTTAGGTAGCACTTTTGAGAACAATAGTGAACATTAGATGTGTGACATGTGCAACCAATATACCAGGGTCCCTAGAATATGGGACTATTGGATGCAGACAGTTACGTCGTTGAGTACAAAAAAACAATTGACAGTTAATCATGCAATGAATAGGATAATAAATAAAATAGCAAATTTCGAAATCAGATAGACAACATATTGTGTGCATTCTGAAGAAATTGATCAAGTGTAAATGGTAGATGGATAAGAAACTTAAAAAACTCTGTGACCTTTTGCATTATCATACATTACAGTTCAACAACATGGTTGAGCTAACATCTTCTATAAGTATAAGGGAATAGTCATTTAAGTTAGATACTTACATTTAAATAAGTTAGACACGTACACCATTGGATTCCTGCTTAGTGGTTTAGACATTGTGTTCACAGCGAGACCAAACGGCTTGAGTTAGGCTCTTGGAGAGTTCATGGCAGTGCACCACTGAGTCTCATGGTAGGATGAAACAGATATCCAGTGCTTCTTAGTTCTAAATAGTTATCTAACTAAGATTAGGCCATAGTGTAAACCTTGATCGTGAAATAAATATACCGCAGATGTAATAATGATTGGAATTTTATTTTAAATCCGTAAGTTATAGCCAAAAAGTGACACGTAAAATGTTAATTAGAACTTGCATTAGAATGAACTATGTCGAATTTCAACCGAGAATCATATATAAAGTTGAGATAGATATAATCTGCAGATAAAATCATGTATGCAATTGCTTTAGCCAATAGCTCATAAAAGTAACAAGGCGAATTATAAGTAATTTATAGTAAATTACAAAGGACGATGTATAATTTAGGAATTAAAAAAAAGTGAGTAAATTACATAATTTCACACTTGTACAAACAATTTCTAACAATAGAAATAAATATTAATAATGACTTGTTGAAAAATGCCTTCCTAAAAGGATGATTTTTTGGTGACAATTTTCCAACATGAAATAATTGAACTGAGGACAATTGTTCAGTCACTAGACTTGATTTAACGATCGCATTAAAATAACGAATTTATTGTGGAAGTCAGAAGTGAATCTCAAAACAACTTTATGGTGATAATATTTTTTTATGTGTAACACACTCAAATTTTTGTTACAAAACTAAGTAATTACTCAATGTATAGAACTAGTTAATTCAGATTTTTAAGTCGACCCAATCAGCAGCAACATTAAGTGAACAAAACGAATCCATTTTATCTTACAGGTTTCTTACCCGATACATCATTATACACACATTTTAATACTCATTAGGGTATTCTAATTGTAAGCAAATGAGAACAGATTAGTGAAAATAATTTAACTAGTTTTTGGTGTCTTATTTATATAAGGGGAAATGTAAGACTTGAAGAATACCTACATACAAGGAAACCATCAACTTTGGGTTCATCCATGAGTTTTATGGGAAGTAGGCTTATTACCATAAATTTGTGGACAGCATGAATAATATGAAGAGCTATCAATCTGTGTCTAACATATTTTAACTAGGAATTATCCATAGAAAATATAATGTTTCATTTTAGCCTTATAAGAATTGCTACAAGTTAAAGTCAGTAATGGAACTATGAAAATCAATCAGCAATCTATATAATAATAATAATAATAATAATCAGAAGATTCTACAGGAAATGAAAGACAGGTTAATTCACCAACCAAAAGATGGAATAATGAACAAAACACTACGAATAACAATTGATATAATAATAATAAATAGCAAACTTATCTTCGAATATTACCCACTAGTTCGTAATTCGAATACAAATAACCGTGTAAGTACACATCTCGATATATGTTACTGCGGGGAAAGCTGATACAAATGACAAAAACAAAACCGTGAGATGAACAGAAATCATCAAGTATCTTTTTTTTTCATTTATTATTTATCTACTTAATACTACCAGAATATCTTTATTTAGTAGAACTATTTAAGAATCGAGAATCGACTCAGAATAACGAAGCCATATACATAAGCCGTAATAAGAAAATGTGGAACATAAAAAGTATATATATATATATATATATATATATATTGTGGCAAAATGTTTTGTGATGAATATTGCAAAAAAGAACAGGTAATAAAGACTGAGTTGATAAAAATTATCAAAAAAAATCAAAGCCTCAAATAATTGATAAGATTCTTCAAGTGGGGACGCCAGTAACGAGAGTAGTATGTTTAGCATATAAAGGAAGCATACATAGCAAGGTGCACTGAACAATTTACACTAAAAAACTTTGCGCAAACTGTCTAATTTCAAATTAGGAGATAGCATGGTAAGGAATAACGAATGTATAAGAGCAACAGATTATTACTGTTACTCCTATTTAACCTATAGTAATGTCTAAATTCAGAGACTTCTTACTAGTTTGCGAATAATTTACATAGTGATGATAGCTAACTTAGGTTTGAACATCACCTTTTTGAAAATTCTCAAGTGTGTAGTATCTAATCCGAGGAAGAGACCGGATATTTACTCCTATATATTTTTTACTGAGTTTTATTCCGATCAAAAGTATTTGAGGGTAGAGATTATCAGTGATGAAATAATTAGGTTACAAACTCACATAACTTTTGAGGTTAATTGTGGAGTTATAGAGATGGGCTACGATTTTATTAAACGGTATGCCAATGAATTTTCTATTACCTGTAGGCAACTAATATTCATCTTACGAATGTTAAGTTAATACATACATTTTGAATTCTTGATAAATAATAAACGGTATTGTTGGATCACAGCCGACTCCTAACGTGGAACTTTCGGAAAATACAATCACCAAGGACATCGAACAGGCAGTGGTCAAGCAGTGTTGTGACTGGAGTTAGCTTACTTAATTTTACCAAAGATTTAACGACATAAAATATGGAACGCTAAGTGAAGGGTCAAATAAAGCGAAATGGAGACACAGAAGGGTAATAGAAACTATAATAATAATAGTAATAGTATTAATAATGGTATCCATAAAACATTCGGAGAAAAAAACCCAAGTTAGAGCGAAATTGAACAGATGCTTTTAAAAAGTAAAAGCGTGTGAGAACCCTTATACTGTACCATACTTAATATGTTGGAGCGATTGACTGAATAGTCCTGATAACTTGAATCTTTGAAATTTTTTACATATAATATCATTATTATTTCACTCTAGTGCTTTATTGTAGTAGTAGAAATAAATATGGATAGTACCGGATGCCTTGCAGTGACTATTGAGTTAATAAAGTTTTGTAAAGCAGTAATGAATGCTTTATTACTTTAAATGCCCATCTTTCAGGTGATAATTGTGCCAAGAGACGTAAGCAATTCGAAGATTGGACTTTTATATGAATGTATGCCAAAACAATAAGCTGTTGATGATTGGCCTTTAAAAAAAAGACGTAATCATACATAATTCACTGATAAATATGTCAATATCTAAGCAAAACAAGTAACAAAATAATAGGCCGTCAATAAGATGCATCAAAAGGAGAAAAAAAATGAAATGTGTATATTAGAATGGTAAATATAATATCAGAATTTTCGAAGAAAACAAGCTTGGAATAAGAGGAAAACAATCAAGATAAATCCTACTTCACAAACATTGATTTCACTGATTTTGTAAAACAAACTAACAGACAAAGAATGAAATCAACAATTGAATCACTAGGATCAAAAAAAGGATAAGCATTCACGCTTGACTAGAATACAATTTCAAGTATACGTGATTCGTTTGTAAGATAGATGTGAATAACTCTAACGACAAGTTCTAGACCATATACACAAAAAATTTATCCTGTTTTTGAAGGAAGAACAAGCAGATATTACAGTAGTTTTGTGGACTTGGTTGTTTTTTTTCCTTTCACTCAACATATGCAAATGCTTTGTCAATATGGTCTTATCATATCACATGGTTCTTTTGGTTGATTACGTCATACATAGACTTTCTTAATTTCTTCCTGTACAATCGTGGCAAGCATTATGCCAGAAAAATGCATTAATTAATGCATGCTACTCGCAAAAAAGGATATTTAGTTGCGAAAATCTATTGAAGATTTGGAAAATTTAGAAAAAAACAATATGCATTCATATAGTAATTGTTGCTTTCCTTTTATAATGAAATATTTCCACAAAGTCTTTTGTGACATGTTTAGTGAAAATCATCTTTTACACCAGCCTTTATTGCGCATCAAGGTAGTCCGTAGACGTACTATATGTGATGCATATTCTAACCATCTAACATGATAAACATTCAATAACTCTGGGTCTAAACTTCAAAATTGTTAACTCAATGGTTTTAAAATACACCAACAGTAGTTCAAAGAAATGTACGATCGAATATCCTTTATTTTCAAAAGCCACAATTCGAAGTTATCAAAAATAAAACAAAGACAACAGCTGCTCAATTCAAATTTATCCTTCGGATGGTGGATGTATCATTCCACCACATCAAAAATAACGTAAGTCAGCAATAACATCTCGAGATTCCCTCAGACACTAAACCACTAGGACCGATCATACTCCTTAGATAAGTAAACTAATCAACACACTCAAATACTTCGCTTGATATCAATAATTCAGACACCGACGCAAGCCAATCCTGAAGCAACATTAGGAATTTAAGGGGAGAAAAATCTATCCCAAACAAACTTGTATTGTTGCCTAGGGTAGCCAGAAGACTATATTTTGCCTGCGTTCAAAACTCCTCGGTTGAGAGTGGATCATCGTCACATCCTTTTCAGGAATAGTTTCGTTAACTCTTTTGTTATGAACATAGGTACAGAAGTAACCCATTTTCCATGTATAAATTAGTACACTCAGTTTCAAGTGAAACTACAAACATGAAGGCTAGTAGTACTAGCCGGTTGTCAAAACGGAAGTACATAGAATGAAGTTCGGATATGCAATTTAGAGGCTGAAAATCGAACATCTAACCATGTGAGCCACTGATTTACAGTAAACAAAAAGGGTAAATTAACATCAATTATAATTCACAAATAAATGATAGTAATAAACGATCAAAAGCAGTTCGGTTGCTTCATTCTAGATAAAAATTGACCGTATTCGGATATTCGTTTTATTGAAAAATTTTCTATAATTTTAATACACTTAGATGATGTAAGATAAACACCCATGTTAGTTTCAAGAGATAAGTTGTTTAATGTTCAAATACACAAGAGCTGAATTACATTTCAGAAAAAATTTGCAGAAATTTTATTCAATATATATATATATATATATATATATATATATATATATATATATATATATATATATATATATATATATATATATATATATATATATATAAGTCCTTTCCATAAATTAAGTCGTTGAATTGATTAAGTCTACAATCAACAGCAAGAAGTTCATGCTGATCTATTTTAGCCGTTAAACGCAATTTAGGGAGCGATAACCACTTGTGCATGAGAATGCATCTTATACACCAAAGTGATAAAACTAGAAAACTAAAGCACTGACAGATCACAGTCATATTATGACTATTTAAAAGTTTGATATAAAAAAATTAATAGAACTATTTTGGCTCGATGAATGTCAGCTTTATTAGGAAACAAGGAAAAAATATCACATTTTTTTGAGATTAGTAGTTGTTAACTTGGATTTACTTTATTTTTACTAAGCTAACGAGAATGCACTGACAATTCAGTTGATTGTCAATATTCATTTTCATTAATTGTGTGTTTTCAATCCTCATTTACATCATGCGTGACAAATGATTAGATAGACTGTGACAAGAATAGTGAACAGACAAAGTCGTGCTGACAATAATTTCAAATGCTATTTGACCGAAAACACCAAATACATGCATGCAAATCTACTAATTTGTAATAATTTCCAGTGATCATGCACAGAAGTCTGGTATACACTGAAAAGATCATGTGAAAACAATGCTGTAACACACTGAATAGGACATTGAAAATTTACAAAAACTTATTGCTCTGTATACAAACAATTGCAAAATAGTGTTTGACATTATGTTAGTGATAGAAAGCATATTTGAAACACGGGAGAACTATAAATTACCAATGAACAAATCATAAATCGCATAAGAGTAATTGTAAGTTTTTATTGGTCCTATTTTACGTTAGGTCCAAAAGGAAATCGGTAACTGTTTGAGTTAAATCGGATGAAAACTATTGACAAACTGACGTCTCCTCCTTAAGTCACTTGAATTTTTTTGGTGAGCATGTGCGATCAAGATCATAACTAGCCCAAAACTTCTCGATAACACGTAAAACTGAATTCATGATAAGACTACATTTTCCACTACATAAGTCAATTGATACAGATAGGCTGGCAACAACTTTAACGCCTGGATGAAAATGTTTGATGTATTTAACGAAATTTCAAGGGATATTAACTAATTAGGAAAATAATATTTAAATTAAACATCATGATTAATCAACCATTAAAAAAAGGGACATATGAAAACCTCATTATTTTTTATGGTCAAATTACACTAGATAAGATTCATTAGATAAATAAATAGATGTACTAAAAATATAATAATAATAATATTGATAATAATAAGAATAAGTAAAATGTAATTATCAAAACGGATTATATTAATAATAATTAAACAGCAAATGACGTGGTATATTTAGAAACCCATTTATTCATGATTGAATTAGCTCTATTTTCACTTATTTAACTTGAATGATCTACAAATAACAACGGTTGACTAATTTGAAATGAAGAAATTCATCAGATCAACCAAATTTTATCATTTGCTTACTTGAGAAGCATAAGTAAACATGATTTATGCTTTTCAAGAGAAGAGGGTCAGAAAACATTAATAGTGAATTAGTGGAGAATAATCATTCCAAACGGCAAAATAAAAATTACTCAGTACCCGCGAGTGTTAGGTATTCACAACTCCTATAGTGTCATGGGAAATAAAGCAGCCAGTTCATGCAGTTTAGTTTATAAAACAATATGAACAGCATACAATGGATGCATAAAGGGGCTCGTTCAGTTATATTATAACTAATTAGAATCAAAACTATATTCTGCCGAACACAAAATATGCCAAATTAAAACAGTTATAAATTAAAGTTTTGTAAACAACTACAAGCGAAAGATAGTACACGTGAAACAGAAGACATAACGTGCATCAACTTGTTCTGCATTTCTCATGAATAAGAAGAAAAAAGAAAGATTTAGTAGGCCTAAACACCACCTAGGTTTCGTTTACTCACTTTCAACAGAGCTCTCTGCTTTGACAATGGTACTACAAGCCAATAATTCTTAAAATAGAAAAAAAATCAAATTGGAAGCAAAGAAATAAAATTTTGTATTAGCAAAAGCTAACCAGTTTTGTTCGTTCAATTCCAAACTCAACAATCAATCATACAAACAAATTAAGGTTAGCCTATTTCAACTGGCATTGCCACGACTAAAAAAAATCAGAGCATGCAATCAATGAATGATAATATTTGGTGTTAATGTGTTTATCTCAAACCCCGTAATGATTTATCAATTTTCTATTTTGATTATAGAATGAATTTCTCAATGCAAGCACTAGTAACGATTATCACATATTTTAATACCTTGCATCACTAGTATGAATGAACATGATGATGTAAAAGAAAGATTAGAATGTGTACATAATAAAAACAACAACAACGTACGATTGATGTGTGAAAATAAAAAGGCTTGTAAAATTAATAATTAGATAGTGACCAGGTTATAAGGTGAATATGCAGTAAGATGTTTTTGCGATAAATAATAAAGGATTAAATGACATAAATCCATATCAAAAATTATTATGGATAAAATCATGAGGATATAGGAAATAATGAAATAGGGGTAAGAAAATATTTTCAAATACAAAATATGATAATGGCAATAGTTTAAGGCCACGGCAAAAACACGGATAAGATGTATTTCCTATTGCACACACGGTTCTCGTTTCGCTTCGTGGATGGTAAGAGCTTCTGTTGTTTTAAGAAGTTAGATACGACGATATATAGGTCTAGGTAAAAATCAACTTATGGATCGGTGCAGTGATTAGAATCGACTAGATGTTCAAGAATGAAACGTAAGTGCCTTTTCATCATCCTTGTGTAACCACACTCAGGCATATTCTCGTATCCGAGTTGAAGTAATCGCTGGCTACGACATATGTACCATGCTCCAAAACAGCAGGTGAAATGATCTACCTAGGTTTCTTCGTATCCACCTCCTTAAAACAGACGCATTTTCTATTCCTCATACAATAATGATTTTATCCATAATTCTTTTTGATACCTACGTTTAATGAATCCCTTTATTACTTCTAATCGATGTCATAAAAACACCCTAATCATCAAGTCAAGATTCCCAATGTGAAAATTAGAAAACCATATATATAGGCAAGCAATTTTGTTTACAAATAGATTGTCATTGGACTTCACTCCGATGTACATGAATATTTATGTGTAGTTACGCAACCTATCTCATCGTCATTATTGATTGACCTGTGAATTGCATTAACTGGTTTAAAATTTTCATATAAATATTCATGTACATCGGAGTAAAGCCTGATGATGATCTAGTTGAAGACAATAATATTCGCTTATATGTGTTGCATTAATTATTAATCTTACAAGCCTTTTGATTTCACACATGCAATCTTTTATTATTACTACTACTATTTTTTACACAATATAATCTAGCATTATAATCTTTACATTGCATCAGGTTTATTCACTGTGCATATGTCCTCACGGAATTAATATTTTTAAAAAGATTTCCTATATATATATATATATATATATATATATATATATATACGACTGTACAGTTTGATAATAAATTTATTACAAAGAGGTCTCTTCGCTGAACTTTGTGTTTTTAATGCCTGAATGAGAATTACATATCTACATAAGTATGAGTCAGTCATGATTCGCTTCAGACCTGAAACTAGGATTTTCTCTTCTGCTAGAACTATCCATGCTACATTCATTGATCACCATTCATCCGACCATTGTTTTTTAATCAGATTATTCTTCGTCAATGTAAACTGTCGATAAATATTGAGAAACTTTGAAATAGAATTATTTAATTTTATAGATCTTGTCCAAGTTTTATTGGCATTTAAATTGCAGGCTACAATCATTAATAACAATGAAAGCAATAGTCATGAAATAAAGGTTTTAGGAGTTAGAAAAATCTAATAGGACTAACTTTTTATGTCAGCCGAGTCTTCCATTACTACAGTGGTGCTGTCAGATGGTTCCTTGATACCGTCGTTAGATTTCTTAACCACAGAAGTATGACCTCCTGGAACGGTACCCCGACCAGCTGTAAAAAAAACATAAATTAACAAAATATGAAATGAAATTCCACCAGATACTTAACGATACAGTTAGGAGAAAACTGCGTATTACAACATAGAAACTAGGCATGATACAAAGTTTATTGTAGGATGTGATAAGACAAATAGTGACTGGGAGCTATGTAAAAATGTATGACATAAGCACGACAAATGAGATACACATAGATTGATAATTGTCAGGTACTAGCCAAGGATGGGTGAGTTATAAAGATACTTATCAATATATACTGTGCGAATGACACGATGTGTCATACCATAGCATGGTAAACAATTTGGGATTTTATCAGTTTTGAAGCGAAAAGAAAAGAACTTTTAGCTTCTAAAAACCTATTCAGGACAACTAACACTAAAATTGGAAATAATACAAGTTAAAAACACATCAATTTCAATGACGACGTCAAACGTTCAAATTAGCGAGAACTGATAACTATGAGTAACACCTAAGATGTTCGTATTTTAAATATTCCTGAAAGAGCTTTCCAACAACATATGTGTGTTTGTTATTCACAATTTCGCATGTACACTACAAAACCACTAACATACACAACATTTAGGCAACTAAAATAAACACAAATATACATATGAAAATAAATACGTCGTTTTCGAAAATAACTTACAACTATCATCCTTTTTCACTAAAGATTCACATAGAAAAATAGGAGTAAAACATGCGAAAATAATAGGAAATATATTAAACTGAAACGTGATATTAGTAAATTTGATTGTGGTAGATAAAACAAAAAATCATAACATTATGACAAATTGTCATTTAAAAAAAAATCAAGTGTACTTTGATGATGATTAGACAGAAGAATGAAATGGGTTCGAAGAAGTTAAAGATAAGTTAGTAGACTGACATTTAGCTGACCGCAGTTGAAAATTGAACTTACTAGAAAAATTACGTGTGGCCAGCATAGTCGTAAGTATAGCACCCTAAAAACGTGAAAGATAGATAAGCACATTTATTTTAAGCATGTAAAAACGCGAATGTATGAATGGTTAAAAAATAATTGATAAGTTTTACGATTGAGTTCAATCATAATATAGCCAGTGAGGGATAAAGCACGTTTTGACTACTTATTACAATAAACTTTACAATAGAAAGGCAATTCCTATACCTGAAATGAAGATGGATTAACTAAACCACAAACAAAAAAATTACTTAGCATGGTGAGCTACTATGAGCATGGCCAAATTTTCGTTAGATACATGCAACGAATTTTGGGTAGATGCTCATGGTAGTTGAATACTAGTCATACGATTGAAGTCATAAGATACGAGGTATGATTTCATATAGTCCATTGGGAACAAGTTTAGGATATCAAGGTTTATAGGTTAAATGTGATAAACCATAGAAATACTGACTGGATAAATATAATTATTTTTCACTTCGTTTTTGAAGATTTTTGTAATAAAAGCAACAATAACTCAGTACCAGACGTAAAAACACGCGATAGGAACGATTTAATAAAAAGTGTCAAGTTTCGTCTAACCTACATGTACTATTATTTTACGCAATGAATTCTATGTTAGTGTATCATCAAAAATGAAGAAACAAAGAAACAAAAGTGATGACAGTCCAGTAATTTAATTTAAGTGAAATAAATTTGACACATCAAATAGCGAAGAGCATCCCAGAATAATTACAGTTTGGCTATTTTAATCCAATTAGAGTTCAATGGATGGATCTATTTACAGTTAGAGGGCAATTTTGTTGAGAGTTAAACTCTCAATTTAAATCTGAATGGAAATAATCGGCACACTTATTCGCTGGTGACTCAATACAACATGGAATGTAATTGGATAGGGCTTTTATACTTGGAGTCTACAGCGAACGTTGTTGTTATGCGATAAACATAGTTGAAGTACGGCAACGTTTGATTTGAAGCAAAATGTCATTTAACCAGTAAAACTACCTTAAAAAACGGATACCGAAAGTTAAGAAACTACTGACACATAACCTTTCAGTGAAGTGAATACTGACTAATGTCTGTGTGATGCTCATATTTATTTCTGGTCTCCTGAAAACCCATCCTAAACTACATGTTGGAGCTTTTAATATCCAAACCTTGAGTCAAATAGGCTTCAGTATCTAGGACTTCTCAATCTCGTACCATTGATGTATGCTGCGTCTCGAAAACGAGCATACAGAATCCGAGCAGAGTCACTAATTTGATTTCATATTGTCCAGATATGGAATCAATTCGGTTTACGCTTCCTGTATCTGGAAGCATCCGTTAGGGATGTCCACTTTCTCATTTTCTTGTTTAATTTTGCCATAGACTTGCTTGCTGACTTGGAATATGCCGATGACATAGTTTTATTTACTGAGAACGCTGAGTCTTCTGACCACCCTAAACGACAAAGCAAGTAGGTTCGGGATGCGATTCTCCCCGTCGATGTTGCTTCAGGATTGGCTTGCATAGATAACTAAACTAATGATTGGAAGTGAAGCGGTTGAGCGTGTTGACCGCTTCACTTATCTCGGGAGTCTCATCAGTGCTGATGGACAGGCGACTAACGAAATCTCAGAACGGATACAGAAGGCTCGATTGGCTTTTACGAAATCGTGTCACTTATGGTGTAGGCGAGATATCCGTTTGCTAACCAAAGGACGAGCCTATTGTGCAGCAGTTCACTCTGTCTTACTATACGGATGCGAAACATGGCCCGTAAGATTTGAGGATGGTCGTAAGTTATTAGTATTCGATTATAGACGTCTTCGAAGCATTGCTCGTGTATCCTGGGGCTATCGAGTAAGCAAAGCTGTCTTTAGGGAACGACTGTCTCGACGAGCGATGTTTTGTGGTGTAGGAGTACGTTGGAAGAAAGTTAGGGGCGGCCAGACCAAAACATGACAAATCCATGAAATCACTGACAAGTGGACTGAGTCATGTTGGTAGATGTAGACTGTCGGGTTGGGGTCCGCGAGATCATTGTAATCGATGGTTACAGACTCTGAGTGACATGGCTCAGAATCGTTTGGAACGGCGCAGGTGCACCCACCCTTTGTATTCTCTGAAATTCAAATCTTTTGTATTCATCATCACCTTTATCTTTCTCTGTTTAGATTTATTTCACTGAATTACACGTCTTGAATAATATCTTCGAACCGTAATCTTCTCCATTACCACTAATACTTCTATTATCTCTATAATTATGGTACTTGAACTGACAATTGAGTTGGTGGAGAATATTTGTAGCTCAGGTGCATGATTATGGTGGTGTTTCGTTCTCTGAACAGAACCAAAACATTTAGCTCAAAGAACGAAACACCATGGCAATTGCGTCTCCGTGCTCATGAGGCATGACAAAACATGAACTTATGTACGTACGTGCGAAGTTCTACGTTGTAACTGACTGATGCTTATACTCAATGAACATAGTAACGAGAAACAAAGGACATTTTTGTCAAGTCGGTACATGTAAGCTTATTATAATTCTGTTGATGCCAGTTAAACTGCATTTGTAGCACAAATGCATCAAGTTCGAACAAACGAACATTAGCTTGAAATGAAGTAGCAATTCTTGACTATACTTACTAAACATACTTACTAACATGCAAGGAAATGCACTAACAATTTTAAACTGAATTTTACCATTCTTTAAGTGTTTTGTTTAAAGGAATTAAATTTATATTAGCAATATTCCGGAAGTTATAAACATTTAGATTTTACACATTTTTGAAACCATGAATCGATCAATGTTAGACCAGCATTAGAAACCTGGAGGCACTGGACGGCCGTTTCGTCCTGGTATGGGACTCCTCAGCAGTGTGCATCCACGACTCCTGCACCCCGCAGGATTCGAACCCAGGACCTTCGGTATTGTGCACGAACGCCTAACCATCAGACCACTGAGCCGGCATCTAACGGTGTTAATGTCTAACAACATCAATTCACGGAGTTGCGCAACCTCATACACAGTCTTCGGTAGTTACTGTCTACACCCGAACAGGTTGAACTTCACAGGTCACGTCTTCCCACAAGTATATCCACAATTAAAATAAAGTATTGTGCAATAAGATTTGTACGAAAAACATACCTTTAGTTTACGTCTTGCATTGAATTTCTTTAAGCACTCCACTGTCTCCTGACGATGAACCAAGGAAGCAACACGTTCTCGTTGCTATCAATAAAAAGGAATTGGTATTTGATATGTTGGTTGACAAAAACAGAAAGTTAAAGCAATGATAATTAGAATTTTTAAAATCATCGACGGCATTAGGTGGTTAGTCAATGTGGTTTCTTCATTGGTTTCACTTATGATGAATTGTCATGTGATAACTCTAGGAGAGGGGTGGCAATTCTTTTTAGATAATCGGACAAGCGATTTGTTTAGGTCCTTTTTGATTTAGCAAAATAGCTTACAAACAAGGAAAACTAACAAATTTAACTTCAGGCACCAAATTACAGAATCAATACGCAACAATTTGTTTAGCTGGATAATTCTTTCTATACCTGAAAAATAGTTAATCAGCAGGATTTAGGAGATAAGATAAATTTACCTGAAGAAACCAATTAACTAAACTTTTATATTACACTCTCCTCAATGGATTTGAAAGTTTTAAGTGACGGGGTTAATAGCTGGAGCTTAAAACATTATAAATATATGCATTAGGAACGCTAAAAATTGAAACATAACAAAATATGTTAAGGATAATCAAACTTCCGAACACACCAAAATTAATATATTCTGTAATTTAGGGATGATGAGTTAGGAGAAATAACACAACCTTTCGGGGTTATATAAGTGTTAGTTCAACTAAATATTATTAACATGTTTAAAACTAAGAGAAGTGCATAGTCTGAAATTGTATTTTCTAAAAATTCCTGTCAAGATGTGCACACGCCTATATATTGGTTTGATAACTTTGTAAAGTATGAGATATGAAAACAATGTATGATTCAAATTACACACGTAATCAGAATAAGGAGTAGAATTACGCTTAACATATGACAATCATGTGATGTGCCACTAAGTTAATAAATCAATTTTAACATGAATGTTGGGAAAGATAGTAAGTAATAGTTTAATGTCTTCGACAAAAGTTAATGCAGTATATATTCATTTTCTAACTGGTCTATAAACATTTTGAAGACTGATGAATGGAAAGATTTAAAATGTATGGTAATTTCATTTATACTGTATAGTACATATTACAAATATAATTCTCTTTCTGTCTCATATTAACTGGACGATTAATTACTTTGGAACAATGCAACATTAGAGGGAAAATTCCACTTAGGATCGTAAGAATATCGTCAAAGGTCAGAATAAGTGTGAGTAGTAAGAAAGTTGAGAAACTTGGTTACATCTGCAAGCCGATATATATTAGAAGGACAATATAGTTTTGAGCTAACTGGAAGATATGGAAGGATACAATAATGATACACGAGTTTGTACGATGGATGTGTATAAAATGATTACTTCTTGATTACTTATTAGTACACTTTATGAGGAAATACGAATTCCATTGAGAATACTTAAACTCTAAATTTTCCACAATTTGTCAAGCCATATTCACTTACTGCAGTTGGACGGCCAATTCTAACCACAAGTGAACATATTTTCAATCTAATCTTTGGCTGTTGGAAAGTTGGAGATAGCGATATTCGATAGCAATGTAGTATATTCCTGACGTTTGATTTTGTTGTAGAAGTTTGGTAAATGAATACAGGCTTTTAGGTATCGCTAGTTTAGAGCAAAATTTCCCAAGATAATTCAGTTACTAGAAGCCGTCTGATCAAAAATATTAATTAGTGTTTTAAGCACCTGATAGTCTTTCACGACTTTGAAACCTTCGCATTGGATTGGTTCTAGTTTACCTATTTCTAACTATTTATATCTGGTTTTTGATTCATTCACCAGGTATTTGGGTAAAAGCCGCAATGTAAGTGTGTGGGCTAGTGATATTACCCGGTTGTTCAAATCGAAGTGGGACAGGGTTCGGGCGTGGGACTTAATGTCACAAGCGCTAAGCTACTGCTCCAATTTTCAAGTTTAGTATCAGGAATGATAACGATACCTATAGACTATTATGTAAATAAAGACCAAGTATATATATATATATATATATATATATATATATATATATAAAATCACGCAGATTAATGAAAAATTCCATAAAACTCAACTGTGATAAAACAAAAATTAGGGACAAGTGAATTTAATGTATTCAAAAGGATAAAATCTCTTAGAGAATTCATATTCTCTCTTTCCCATTCCTATATCCACCTAACATTCTTTTAATTTTGTTCCAATAAAAACACTCGTATGTAAATAATACAGAAATAAGCAGAGGATGAAGCAATCTAGCAAATATTGAGGTCATGGCCAAGCCTACATTTAACAACAATAATACTTACAGTGATAACAAAAACAATGACAGTGTTAATGATGAGCACAGGTTGAGGTGATTAGGCTATCGATCTGATGTTAGAAAATGGATTCAATTATATCGAAGTATCATCATGGGTTTCATCGCTTTCTAACTAATTACACGTCACAATGACAATATAACAAATGTCCTTATATGTTTGTTAATTCATTAAAACGATGAAAATGAGTGATGTTTGTTTTGGTTGAAATTAGAGAAACATATGCTAATTATAGAACTACCTTTTGTCGACTAATACCACGATGCAGAGGAGCTCAGTTATGGACTTTGTGCGGAATTTCGATTAAATATGTGATTAGCCACCAAATTATAGACCCAATAATCAGTGTTATTATCATAAAGATTTTGATCATTTAAAGTTAAATGAGAACAGTGAAATTAACCTGACGAAAAAGAGGTTTCAGGTTTCTAAGTATTATGTCAAAGTGAATGATCGTGGTACTTTTCGAAAACGCACACACACACACACACAAAAGCAAACGAAAGTAAATATCATAAGAAAATTATAAAACAGTGATACCACACACAAAATATTTATGAAAAGCAAATAAGCTTTCGTTTATTGAACTAAGAAGCCGCAGACCAGCATTTCAATCGCGAAAAAATAAAGATGTCACCGACCATAATTTTATTAATTTCATATTAATGAATAATATTGTTGTGATAAATGTATGACTTTCAGTGTAAATTAAGGATGATGTTTTAACAGTGGACATTATCAAGAATGTCGGGAAAATTAAGGTAGGATTGTTCTTAAATGGAACCGACTTTCAGTGGGACTGAACAATTAGAATGAACTGTGATTTGTTCTCAGTTCACTTCTACTCTTACTTGCATAGTAAACGAAAATAGATTTTAATACAGCTGATGCACGGTCTTCTACTCCTCTTAAAAAAAGGAAGCTAACAATTACATTCTCTTTTTATGTTGTCTTTCATAATTGTTTATAAGTTTTATGAAAGGCGAAAGCCAGTTGTTAAGTTTTGTGATTGTTCTCATACCTGCCGTAAGAACAAATGGGACAGTTATACACTAAACAAATTCGTTGTTAGAGTAATCATTGTGAGACGCAAAAGAAACTAAAACAAGAAATAAAATAAGTGATAAGAGATCACATGACACCAAAGATTGTGTTCAGTTCTTTCCTTTTCAATAAAAAGATCATGTAATCCATTACTTTTTTTATACCGAAAGGCAATGATGACACTTTAAAATATATGGTTGACTGGAGCTTACATCTAAATTCTGGAATGTGGAATTAATTAAAGTTAAAAAAAGAAAATGAAATCTTTGGCAAACAATAAAAGGTAAACGCACAATACATTTTTTATAAAAAAACAATCGATGTGAAGCTAAATAAAGACTTTTTTTAATCTATTTTACAATCCCACTGATAGACAATTTGAATAACACGGAAACAAATTATTTGACGACGGAAAAATAATATTAGGTAATAACATCCGCTATCATTGGTTCACTGCAAAGAGTGCATTGATGTCCATGCAGAATATTGAAATACTATTTTAAATATTATTTCAGAACTACATAATCATTATGGAACCAACACAACTAAGCTCGAAATCGTCAGAGCAAAATTAATGCCAAAAGTGAAATTGCTTAGCCCAAAGACAATTAATCGATGATTTTAACTTTCAAAGTATACCCGGTTAATGATTAATACTATCGGACGTAGACTCAAGCAGATAATGAAATGTATGAACTCAGAAAATTTTCATCAATAGACGGAATTTTCCTAGCGATCTTGTGTAATGGATAAAAATTAAACATTGACGTTGAGAGTATTGTTTTAGTACAAAATACATGGTGTATGTAAACTGCAATGACATAAATAAACAGTTGTCTATGTGACATGATTGTACGCTAATATTAGTGCTTGGATAGTGCTGAAAACTATTACCTACAATGCGCTAATTTGCTGCTCCTATTACGACACATTTTGGTCTTATGAATAAATAAAAATTAAACAAAAAAATAAATTTAGATTTTGCTGAAGATCAGATTTACTAACTTACACAAATCCATGGATGCTTGAGAGCTTCTGCAGCTGTGATTCGCCTTGCAGGACTGACTGTTAGCATTTGGTTGATTAAATTCTTGGCTTCAGGAGTAACTGTATCCCATTCTGGCGAAGGATACTGGATTAATACAAATAACCCGAGGGTCAGAAACAATCTTATAAATAAAATGTTTCCACGAAATAATAACTGAAGTAAACTGATACACCACTTATAATTACACGATGCGATTTAAGAATTATTATTGTATAAATCTATACTTTACAAGTAGGATTGCTTTTTGTAGAAGCACAGAGGGTGTAAGTAAGATGAAGCGAGTATCTCCGATAAAAATCACAGGAAATGACTTAGGTATTTTTCAAAATAGAAAAGACACTATTGACGAGTGGTGGAAAATCGGTATACATAAATGAGCAGTGTTCTGAAACTATTCTTATGACCACTGTAATTAGTGTGCATTTAAGCATGAACCGATTGTCAATCTATTTAGATTGTGACCAGCAGCGAAATCAAGGATGCGCGCTTCGTGTTCACGGAACAATCGTGACAACCAGAAGTCATTTTGTCTCATTTTTTCATAAATCATGAGTTTTAGTACCACCTTATACTTAGTATTTTCAGATTTGATTTGCCGTTCATTTTGTTTGCACTTTCAGGATAATCATTATTACTTGTTATTATCGTTCCGACAGTTTCTTTGTAGTACCTCCACATCCAATAGAGCTTGTTCATATTTAATTTGGTTAAGCCTTTTGATTAACTTATTTAACCCAGTCATTAGTATAGTAATAACTTATATGCACCATTGGCTTCTATTACTGTCGAGTTCGTGTGAGCTGGTACGACTGAACATTGTCTACCGCCTATGCACATATACATCCTAATCGATTTAACGTTAATCTATTGGATATTTCGATGACTTGGCCATTTACCTATGTATATGTGTTCATTTAAATATTATTAATTCATTCGCCGATTCGCTCACTCGCTTGCCTTCCAGCACTCGCATAATGGTATTGTATGCCTGTGGTCTGGTGGTTTAGTTGTGGTGTACCGAATAGACGTATTCAACACTTCGTATCCGTCTTCTGATTTATAAACCGTGAGGTGCTATTTAGTAACGGTTGTCTGGACGAGCAGCATACGAAGTCTAAGAACGCATTGGATACCGACCGTCACGAAACTAGTGAGATACTGGCCACCACATCTGCTAGCTGTGTTGATACGAAATGCAACAACTTCGATCGACGTACCTTTGTACCAGGTCCTATTCATAGGTGATCTGTATAACGCTTATGATTAATGAACAAGGATGGTCTCAATGAAAAAGGCTATTCTCGCAACGCCTATGATCCACTTAATCACAATATAAAAATTGGTTTGTACCATTATTTAAAACGGAATTTTAGCCAACTTCCTCGATTAGATGGTTATTATACGATTTTCTTAAATTAAACATTTGTCACAAAATGAGCGTTATAACACTAAAACTTTTTTTAATTAGCCGTCACATGGTGTAAAAGTAGCAAGCAAAGAAACAATAATTTTGATAACAATTAACATATTTTTATGCACGTACATCAAATGCCCCAGATTTGATTTGACTGTACAATCGGTTTTGGTCTTCATCCCAAAATGGAGGGTATCCAACAAGAAGAATGTAAAGTATAACACCTGGAGGAAGAAAGAAACATAAATTAAGTGAGCAAAGATGCAGCGATAATTCCTTTTTGTAATTAACATAAACAAGGTGATGGCTTGGCAGAACTGATTGGAAAACATATTTTTGACTGAACAAAAATCTCCAGCATTGGCGATTTCGATGAAAACGATTTCACTTGCGAGTTTTACTCACATCTTCAGTAAAATGGAGGTGTCGCCATTTCAGCCGGAAATAGAGAATCGAAACGGGACAGATGACCGAAGAGAAAGTAAAAGGTGCGAAAACAAGATCTCGCCAAGTAATACAGTTGTTTCCTGAATCAGTAGAACTTCTTATTAATCATGCACGATAACATTAAAACGCCTACTAACTATAAGGTTAGCTCAAAAATTAAAAAAATTCAGTTGTCAACACCTCGAGCCTGCTTGCCACCAACCCTAAAACGTTAGAATAGTTGAGTGGAATTTGTTGTGTTAATATTAAGCAATATGGGATAGCGCAGACATTTTGAATTGTTGGGCTGGGACAACGCAAAATGAAAAATATTCTTTAAACAATTAGAAATCGGGGAAGTTAAAATAAAATAGATTACATTTCGTCATGCAACCTGAGATGTGCATGTGTTTGAAAATAGTTTTATTATTGTTATTATGAATCGATTAGCAGAGCCAGAGGATTAATTACACACGAGATAACCAAATACGTTTACAGGAATACGCCTAAAATGAATAAGGATAATTGCTTCACGCATATTTATCTGTCTACAAAAAAATAACTCGACACCAGAAGTCCAAGTTACAGAAAATACAACTAAGTAAAACAAGCCTAGAGTTGTAGTTTAGAAGTACAGTTTCCCAAAACCAAGCCCTTTCAAATATGAGACAGTTCGAGATTTCCTACACCTGGTTCAGGTATACGATTTAAACCTGTTCAGCAGATATCAATAAAACATATCAAAATAAAAAATAAACTGACATTAAACATTTCTGGTAAAACATGAAATTCCCATAACACACTGAAAAAGTCGCAAGCTGTAATTTGCACGGTGAAATGGCTGTGCAGTGAATATTCAGAGCAGCGTCATAAATACCAGGAAAACAGAAAGTGCATCAATCAAAACCATAACAGCTTACCACAAGCCCAAACGTCTACCGCTTTGCCATATGGTTCTTTACGCAATACTTCTGGAGAAAGATAACCAGGAGTGCCAGCAAAACCTATGGTACAGAAAATGACACCAAAAATACGTGAGGTGTTTACATTTGAAGCGTCAAAAATATTTCACAGAAGTTTATCCTGTATTTTTTTCCATTCACATATCAATCATTAGTAAGAAAACTTGAGGAATCATTAATGATAAATGTAAGTGAAGAATGTCAACATTGATCGAAGAGACGCGGATAATGTATAACAGATATAGTCAAAAGCATTTCAAAAAAATATTAAAATAGCAAGAAGGGATGGGGTATGGATTAATATTGAAAGTAATGAACAGGAATTAAGCGATGAATTACCTTCGTTTAATCCAGTAAAAATATACTCTGAACACCCAAATGATTCCGAACCCGGTATCTTCAAAACAATTTTTTTAGTTGACGGTGGTACACTTCCTGACTACTTTTGCTTTTGTCAATGAATCTGGACCTCATGGCTTAAAACAGTTAACTTCTTTAGCAATAATGTAGTTTATCAAGTATAGAAATTCCAATATGGCTAGATGGTGGATTATTATCATGGTTTAGGATTAGTAAACGACTGGTAAACAGAGTATGATAACATTCAAAACAGTAATAAAACCATAGGAATAAGAAAATGTTGATTATCGTTAGCTTTTAGCGTAGGATTTACTGATACAGGTTGGCTATGAAAACTGAATTAGGTGAAGTGAAGTTCGAAAGTGGTGTTTCAACTTTCAGAACATCACATCATAACAGACAAGATAAAAAATATTCAGTCAAGACCTGCATAGTAACCACACATAAGATTTATATACATTTTTTTACTGTCCGTCCCATACCTGAATGTTTTCAAATATCGATCCTAAATACTGGAATAATATATCTAATATTAACCGCAAATATATTTATTTTATATTCACGAAGTTGTCGGTCTACAACTCTCTTTTTTGTTATGTTCCCATGCTAACTGAAATGCCCTTTATAGTGTTATTTATACATGCCCACATATTGTTACAGAGAACTCTCTTTAAAACTGAAAGACAACTATAGCAACAGTCTGATGTTAAACATCAAACCAGTTGAGTTCCTGAATATGAGGTAAGTTCATGAGATCATGTGAAGTAAAGATGGAAAAGAATTATGTAAATACACAACTACATTTTACACTAGTTAATAAAAGTGAATGATGACTAGTTGTATATCTGCACCAAATATACCTGAGTAGTGTGTAAAAGTAAATTTCAAAAACATTTTCCGACTGGTCCAAGAATACAACTCCACCTAGAGAAACAATTGTGCCCTTACTTCGGGGAACACCAGAATATTATGGGACTTTTAGCCATAGTTATGATTTAGAAATGCAAATGGTAACGACTTGGTCGGCACACGAATAATCCAAAAAAGAAAGTAGACGTGATGTTTCCTGGATTTGACTCAACCTGAGCAGTAGTACGATAGAGATCAGAAGCCTGAATTCAACAAGCATAAAACACATGAAATCATTTATTGTACCTAACAACTACGATTTTCGATATTACAGTATACTGTAAACAACAGTAGTACTATGGGTTTTAAATGATTCACTTATTCTTTAATCTGGATATGTAACTAACTGAGAAGCTTATGCCACATACATAGTTCAAAGTGACTGATCAGATTTCTTAATTTATTGATGAATACTTCCCCACACTCATCACTATATGTAAAACCACATTGAATAGTCATCTGATTTATAGGTTGCCTACGGTAAATGAATGAACAACTTTTCTGATCGATCTTAATTGATACTTAAAAAGCAACTTTTGAAACATTTTTGGTTTCCCATAAAAATTCAGGGAAAAAAAATCAAATTTCCAAGTGAAACTTTAGGATCAAACCGTAAGCAAACCAAAATAATATAGTTAATCAACTTTATTCAAACTCCGTGTGAAAGGTTTTCTTGGGCGCGAACTATCTACTAGTGTGATCTCGTTAGGATGCAGTTACAGTGTCAATTCATTCGAAGGAAAAATTAGTACCGATGATTTTCAGTAGAAAATGTCCCGTCTCTCAAAAGAACAGGACTAATCTGTTAGTCCCTTGAATTCTCTTCCATTTCAATGAGGAAAATTACATACGATGTGTTCATATGACAAGAATAACTGCGTAGTTAGGTTGATTTTACTACGAGTTTGACAGACATCTCTAAAAACTCACTTTCTTTTGACAAGGTTATCAGAAATTCTAACTAGTATCCTCAATTAGTACATGGAGTGGTTAGATAAACAACGGTGTATAACAGATACCAACACACTCAGTAAAGTTATCAGCGAATAACCTTTAGAAAGTTTTTACCATCAATAGAGAACCATTCATTCATGGAATGGATAACTCTAATCCATGACATACTTTTAACTGTGCGTGTAAACACCTGATAGTTTGACCAGTTAAAGTATGATTCAAAAGAAAACAATAGGTAATTAACAGTTAGGAAGTAAAAACCCTAACTAGACATGAAAGTAAGGAGGTTAAGATTAAAGTGATCAGTCACATCAAAAGCAAAGGTCAAATTGATCAAAGAAGTATTAACAAATTTATCGCATAAAGCCTCTAATAACGACTCATCGTCTGCAAAACATTTCGAAAAAAGGTAAAACAAAAAGGTCTTTGCTTTAATAACAAATGGGAAGGTAGATTTATCGTTGTTTTCAAGTGTGTATTACGATCTACAATATTTACTTCAAAATACGAAATATGTGAGAACAAAGCCAGGGTGTAAATTTGTTTGTCTATCTTATTACAAAATGATAAGATACACATAACTGAAAGCAAGAAAAATAATTAGCTTGTCAAATAAAACAACACATAGAATACGAATTAATTTATTGTTAGGTGGAATTCTATCTACAGTATCAGTATGTACCTGTCTGCTTATAAAGTGTAATAACTATCCTGTATGCAGTCATTTTAGTTCAGTAGTCAGTTGTCCTAAGAAACTCATTTTAAAAGTCTGTAATACAAAAGTATAGCTAAGATTCTGTTACTTTAAATGTATTTGTGTGAGTTGAGAGAAAAGACGTCTTTATCAATGAAATATGTAGGGATAGTGGTTTAAAAATTCAACAAATTTGTTTCAGAAAAACGTACCAAACCAGGCTGGTTGATCACCCTGAACTTCTATCGCCAGACCGAAATCCGCTAGTTTCACTGCAGCCCCTTTACATTTACTAGCAAGTAACAAATTTTCTGGCTGTAAAATAAATTTAATTTTATGAAAAACCCACATGTGTTTATTAATTATAGGACAGCTAAAAGATTACCTGAAAATGACTTATCACTATTTGTTGCAACAAATCTAGTAAATATATTTACATACGTACGGAAATATCTTTCTCTTACAGGATTATAAAGCAATAAGTGCTTTGAAGGTTTGTGAAATAATGTCACGAAGAGTTCACTACAGCCAAACGACTTTCATTAAGCGTTATATTGATTCGGGGATTTCTATTAGTTATTTTAAATCACGTAGGGTTGCTTTCAGGTTACTCACAATCATAGGCAATCAGAATGTTTTAACGACATGCACAAAAGAATTAAACCTCTCCACGTCCCTACATCTTCATTCTATTTAATGCCGTTGTTAATTTACTAGCTTGCTAGTTATTTGATATACCTATATATATATATATATATATATATATATATATATATATATCACTCGGAATTTTAAAATAAAAACGTGATGACTGAACCATAGTTGCTGTCATTCTGACAATAAAAATTTAAGAAACATGCTTTTTAGAGGTTTTCAGGCTATATATGTTTTTAGGATGAAGTAGTGTAGCCGTTCACGAAGAGTAACGCATCAGGAAAATATTTACTGCAAAATAATAATTTTGCATAAAACATGGTAAAATATAGTCTTTTATGATAATAAAATTATACAACGAAAGTTAGTAACTAAATACCAACACGAAATAACACGAAATTTTAACGGCTAATCAAGACATTGAGTAGAAGAAATTTATTGAATCAAAAGGATGGGAGGTTTTTGAAGAACATCGGTGCCTACATGTAACATAAGATTCAGAATCTAGGTGAATGTAACTGATGCACATGAGTAAATATTGATTATGAAGGATGAATTTAGTGATAGAACGTGAAAATGCAACCACTAACCTTTAAATCTCGATGTACAATATTATTCTGATGACAGTAATTGACACTTTCAATGATTTGCTGCATACAGTTGCTGGAGTAAAAAATAATGAGAAAACAAGACTTGTTTATGCACAAGATTTAAAATTATGGTAACAACAGCGATAATTAAGTCAACAGAAAATCTATAAGCTATGACCTTATCACTAAGTTCAAGCATGCAAATCCAGAACATTTGTGATGGATTAATGAACCTCAGTAATAGTAGAAGAAAAGTAGAAACAGATAGATAAAATAGCATACAAAAGGATACCATTAAATTCACCATGTATTCAGCATCAGTATATACTGAAGAAACTAACCTAGCATCGGCTTCACTGTAGAATTCCCGAGCAACTATGTCCTCGAAGAGTTCACCGCCAGTTACTCTAAAAAATGATGATGTGATGAAAATAACACAATTTAGAATATTAATAGTTATCATCATAGTGTGGAGTTGACTTACTGGTACCAGTAATCAACCTTTAACTCCTATGTCGTGGATACAAACTCCGTTCTGTCTACATCGTCTTTAAGCAACCAGATAGAATCACTGGCCTTCCCAGACATGTACAGAAAACTCAGGGCCTAGTACACGAACAAATACTTGGTTATTATATATATATATATATATATATATATATATATATATATATATATATGAAGGAAAGACATTCATCCAGTGACAAACTTATGGTATAGTTTTGTTCTCCTATTATCATTCACTTGAGCTACAAATTTTCTCTACCATGTCCGCAAACTTACAATGTAGTTCTTGGGAGGGCGGTTGTTTCCTGGTAGTGAAATGAAGGGCTTTGTCGATGAGTTGTTTGCGAGCTTTGCTATGCTATAGAGTGTCAAGTTAAATGATTCTAAAGACTCCAGTTGAGGAAATAGAATAGTAAGAGAATTTATTGGTATCGCTTGCCCGTAAGCACAAAAGATATATTCCTATATCTTTACGTTTTATGTCACGGTAGAAGAAAATCTGATAATCAACATGTCTCCCTGAGGTGGATGCCTTCATTTTCAATAGTTTCGTTGACTATAAGCTATTTAAAACGTTTTCCTATCTCGCAACCACAAACCATAATGCAGTGGTTTACTAGGACTTGGAAATCGTTAGATTAATTTTCAGTAAACTGAACTGAAAATATTGTAATTTTACTACTTAGTTTATCTACAAAGCTATTTGAGAATCAGGTAGTAAAAATTGGTATCGAGACAGAAATAAAGAAATCATCTAACTCTGGAAAATATCCGGAAAGTGGTTTATTTAATTTACAACTATTTGGAATCTAACCGCAGTGTGAAGTGTGCAAACGTCTCACGAATTGCCATGACGCCAATGTCTCCTTCGAGATCAAGACGTAAGTCCATTGAAGTCGTTGAGCAGATCTTTCATTCAAGCAGCTAAAGTGACATTTAGAAAATACGACTGACCTTGATCACTGATTGCAAGTCGATGAAATGAAAAGTATTAGACTGGCATGAATGGAGTATGGGTATTAGTTTCTTCACAATGCAGCGCTACACTGAGGTCAGTTTTAAGAGATATGAACCGTCATAAAATCGATGATGTTTTCACATATAGGAATGAAAATCGGTAACTATATGTTACAAGTAGAAGTGTGGGGAAAGATGTTCCAAATTTGGATCGATGTGACTGAGACGAATGAAGGGAATACCTTAGAATAGGCTTGGGCATCCTGAACAGACTAGATATTGGCGCAAAGTTAGACACACACTGCCACAAGGTTACATAGCGGGAGGAAATACTATTGTGGAAAAGCTTACCGTAAAGTACTCAATTAACCAAGGTTTCTGTTCGGGCCCGTACATATATATATATATATATATATATATATATTTCTTCAGACATAAAAATGGATTAGGTTTCGGGAAAAGTGCTCCCTATGCCTTCTTATTCCCCTCTTCAGCATAAGCGATCAAATAAGGATTAGGAGGCGAGCTTAAGCCACTGAATCAGACTGGTAGGACATAAGACCTCTCTGCATGTATTACTAATTGTTATGTTAGTAACGTAAATTAGTGGACGATGAAAAAAGAAAAACTGGTTCATTGATAAAACCAATAGCGAAAAACACGATACAATAGCCCGGTAAAGTCATGGGAATAGGATCGTTTGGTTATAAAAGGTGAAGGGTAACGTAAAATAGAAGAAACATAGGACCACCATACTGATAATACCCAGAGGTCATAACCATATAAATGCTTGTGACAAACAAGTTATTAAATCCTGGGTGAAATAAGATAAGGAACATTTCTTCACACATATAGAGTAAATCACTAATTAAAAATTTTCTCGAATCAGAGTTAATACTGGTAACTCATTTGAAGTTAGACACAAAACTTACAGATCAAATACGAGGTAGTGAAACCCTTCGTCCTGAATGTCATCGTACAGGCGAACTACAAAGAATGGATTATCAAAAAATATTAAGATAGACAGGTGCTTGTGTAAATGTAACAGATGAGGCTGGGGTTTGCGGTAAAATCATTTTAATTTCAACCGATAAGTCTCAGCCTCAGATCCAAAGTTTGCTTATTTCACTTTAGGAAGTTAAGAATTAACAATAACTTTCATGCAAAATGCGTGGCTAAAATCCACATATTTAGAATAAATCACATTTATGACATCGAAAGTTAATATTTGAAATTGAAGATGAAAATAACGAAGTGATGTACTTGTGATCTAGTGATTAAAATATGATTGAGCCAGACATATTTGGTTTCTAAAGAATGTTATTTGCTTGCTTGTCCAATATTAACTTTATTTAGAAGTTGACTACGCAGGTAATTGGGTGAACTGATTATCTACCAGCAGTTTTGGAGAGTCAGTCACTAAAAGTTGTCTTAAAGGCTCAAATTACTTGGTTGAGTTTCTTAAATTAAAGTGCCTGATAACAGTAATATATGGAGGCACACGTGAGGGGGAATCTGTCACTTGATAGTCCACCATATATCACATTAAGGTTATTCGGTTACGGAGAACAAATATTATGCTGAACGTATTTTCGAAGCACATTTTATACGCATTGGGACTACTAGGTAGACGATGTTTATGATGGTCGTAGAATTCTGCGCAAATGAAGTAAGTCAACTGGCAAAGTTGAAAATATTTATTGATTAATGTGACTAGGAAGAACGGTGTAATTTGAGTCAGAACCTACCCTAATTTACTAACTCGACTGGAGGTTATATTACCCCCAATGGAGCATAGGCCACTGATCAGCATTCTCCAAACCTTATCTGTTTAGGGTCTTCCTTTCTAGTTTTGTCCAATCGGCATTCATTCTTCTAATGTCTGTTTCCGATTCACGGCGTAATGTGGTTTTCGGTCTTCCTCTCTTACTAATTTGGAATCTAGTTTGTTCTCTCCCACAGTAGGTTGTTGTTGATGGTGTCTGGCCAACAGATTTGAAGTATTTTGCGTAGACAACTGTTATTAAACACTTGTATCTTCTGAATGATGCTTTTCGTAGTTCTCCAAAGTTCCGCCTCCGAGAAGTAGAACTGTGTTGATATGTGTATCGAAAATAGTGACTTCGGTATTTGTTGATTTGATTGGTGTGTTCTATCGGAGAATCTTGCTTTTTCCCTTGTATATGTTAAGGTTATATTAGGAAAGGTGAAAGTAACCCGATCAAAACACGGAATCATATTACAGATATACTGCTCCCTAGTCTGGTGTTCAAGTGGGTGTAGCCTCCTTTTGTTACAGTTTAACCAATGATCATTATAGATGACCAGAAAGTAGGTGGCATGACATGAAGCTGATTATGGTAGTAAGAGGATATCCAATGTATTTTTTTTATCTTAAACAACTCTGTTTGGAATCGTATGTACCAAAATTTTTCTATTTTTTGTTACAGTCGTAAATAGCTCTGCATGAAGCCCTTCTAGGATTACTGCCAGTCCTGAACCCAAATAAAGGAGAGTTACCTACTTCATCTCCTAAAAAACAGTTGTTGTGAAAACGCTAACCAGAAAGAATCATTGAAACCATTCAAGTCAAAAAATCCTGATTTCGAAAATGACAAAATCGATGCTCTTTCTGAAAACCAGAGCAACAGTTAACACATATATATGGAGTTTCGTACAACTTTGAAGACCGGGAGAACCATTCAAGTTGCTGAGGGATGATAAGATACAACCTGGAAGTGCTTAGAACAAGTGAAATCCACTGGATGCAAGTTGGACAGAAAAGAATAGCTTCGGGAAAGATGCTGTTGTACTTTATTCAAGAAGAAAATGCCATAGGAATCTTATGGATCCGGGATCGTCAGAGCGTCCTTCATAACGAAGGAGGGGATTATAATCAGTGTCATTCGGCGCTATACGCCCACTAACGATAGAGGTGGAAACGATAAAGATCAGTTTTGGGAGAAACTGTAGCCAGTCGTAGAAAAATGTCCAGGAAAGGACATCTGGAACAGCACCGAAGTCACAATTTTTAATACACAAATCAAAAATCTTATTTTGCAACCGTCGTGCAAGATACTCGATAGATGTTTGTCAGACTCCATCGGCAACAACCCACTGAGATCGCAAACATACCGGCCTCCAGCCGGAGAGACTAGGAAAAGATTCTGAAGAGGGATAAGACATAACTCATAGAAACCAGCAAACTGCAAGCCCTAGCTTGGAATTCTCGAAGCAAAAGGAAAAGAGGAAGACCAAATAACAGTACTCCAGGTTCTAGAAGTTAACATTAAGAGAATGAATAGCACTTAGAAATAAATGGACAGGAAAGCTCAGGACAGTAGGTTAACGGTCAACGCTCCACGATGAGGAATAGTAGTAAGAGAGCCGCTGTTAGTATACTTATCTCTGAACCTTAATCTCGTTTGTTAAACTGACTAGGACTGTGAATACCCTCCATAATAACTTGAATCGAAGAATATTTAGGTCAACTTCTAGTTTGTCAGTCACTCTGAATTATTCTATTTCGTACCCAATTAATTGAGGCCACTGATACTGCCAGATTGATTAGAAAATGTCAAGTAAATGATAATTATTTATAGTACTGTAAGGAGGGAAACAGCTTGAACAACAAAGTGTTGATGGGCATTTAATATGAAAATCCGTTTGTTTCTAGTATTCTGAAGGAATGCCTTTGGTTGTGGCTGGGGTTTTGCTAAATAAACTGCATGCTGAGAAAATTTGAACTTGATGGTGGCAAAAAGTATGACGTTTGATATTACGATGTACACATGGTGGAGATATGAAAATAATCTAAATACAGCGGGAGACATCAACAATTGTGTTATGTTGAAGATACTAAAAATGAGTAGTGAAAAAAATTTGCTTTATGTGATGGATTGGTTTAGATTGACCGATGCAGCTAGAAATAAGATACTTATAATCCTGTCTTATTTCAGCAGCTAATAAGAGGTCCGGTCACGTGAATAAATGTTCAGAGATGCACGACGATTATGAGAAGTGTTATAGTCAAACTAGTACACAACTAAATTTCGCCACAATTAAAAATACGGAGGAATATCTTCAAATGCAACACCAGTTCGAAAGTTAGTAATGTTGGAAGCTATAATGATATTAATGCTCTCGTACGTTACGGGTATTAATAAGTCGTAAATGTCTCCAAATTACAGAACCTATGTAAAAACAGCATAAACTCCAACAAGCTCTTATCAAGATGACACTAGATGAGAGTTTAGCTAGTCAAGTGGCATCTCGTGAGCTGGAGGGTAAAGTAAAAACGAGATTTTGGATTTTAAGAATAGCTGGCATCCCTAAGTACTAGACTTATCCAAAGACTGCATTTAAATTGTAGACTAACACGAAACCGAAAAACATGAATCTTTTCAGAGCTGAGTAACCCAGGTGGATCGGCCGGTTTTGAGAGAACTTGTACAACTACCGTCTCCTAAAAAGTTAGTAAACGTACAAACACGCATGTTTCGAGTGATAATTTCCAGAAATTCACATAGATTTTACACAAAAAATGAGTAATACTTACCTATATTAGGGTGCTTTAGAAGCCTGCATATCCTGGCTTCGCGTTCCAACTTCTGCATATCTGCAGACAAGAAATAACTTGTGAGTTGGATACTGATGGAAATGTCAGTTCATCGATATAAAGCACATAAACAATATTAAACATGTACGAGTATTTTGTTGTTGGTTAAATAACCTGAATCAAAAGCGAGGAAGACCTTAAATCGTGTCACTAGGTCCTTCCGTAGTATATACGAATTTGTGTATACATATGGGAATTGTGAGACGAGGCTACTAACAAACTGGTTTTCCCGTTGGAATCATTTGAATATCAATGATGCTTGGGAGAACTCATGTCCCAGAATAAGTGATTTAATAATTTCAAACGGTTCATTGCCTGAAAAATTAAGGTTCTGTATTCGCACAAAACATTAGAGTTAAGACAAGTTGATTGGAAGATAGGCTCGTTGTTAGATTCACTACAAATCTTTTTAACTCACTAACCCATATATATTGTATCTTGGACGTTTAGTATTTTTATTCTCACTAATACTGTTATTACCTCTACTACTCAGGGGTTTAGTATGACGATTTCATCTCTCTGTGTCAATTGGGTGTGGGAACGTGAATTGATGTTGCATCTGACCTACTGATTGAGAATAGTCTTAGTTTCACGAGGTAAGTGCAGCATAAAAGAAGCAAGGATCAACGAGACTTCAAATGCTATTACATTAAGTTAGGAGTAATTAAGGACGTACGTTTAGAATAATTACTGAAAATACTTCGTATTCCTGTACATGCTAGGGATCGACAATAATAACTACTGATTTCTAAGACAAAACCAAACACGTCCCTAACCCACATATTTTTGATTTTATTGAAGCTAACACTAGATTATTTACCGGGTACAGACCATTGGACTAATAAATCCTGAAGAAACAAGGAATTAGTTAGCGAATACGACAGCTTGTGAGAAAGGAAATCTAAGGAAAAACCCAACATCAAAAACTTACCTCGAGTTGACAGACGCTTTGTATTTATGATCTTTGCGGCAAATTCTAGACCTGTTGAGAGCTGAATGCATTTTCGAACTACTGAGAATGCTCCACTAAGAGAAAACAAAAACTTATGATTATTAAATGGCCAAAGGATATTAAGTAGCATAAGAAAATTTAATTTATATTGATACTCACCGCCCTACTTCTTCTTTCAAGCTGTACAGATCAGAAAACTTAGGGAGAACAGTAGCCATCTTCGGAGAACGAACCAAATACACCTCCCAATTGCAGCTGAAACAAACAAAGCCAGAGACCTAACATATAGTTCCAATATTGTCTACCAATCATAACACCTTATTGTGGTAATAAAAAGTCTGAAGTTGAAGCATAAACATTCTATTACTTTTAAGCTATTTTATGTTCCAACGATAACTCGGAGGTCTACGAATTTTGACGTTCATTTAGAAAGGAATTGGAAGCTTCAAAAGTTAGTTGGATTTCTTGGTTTTAATTTAAATACGGAAATATCCTGACTGACGTTGTGCGGTGAGCTCCTCCTTAGGAGAAATTTGTAGGTCTTCAAAATTTTTGATAGCCTAGTTGGTTTTAATGCATCCGGTCATTCAGTCGTATTAGATCATTCTTAGCTACACCGTGCTAAGCATCTGTTACGATGCAGGTTTCCAAACACCAACTGCTATTCAGCCATGTGTCTGCACCCTTTAGTTCTCAGTTTCTTACTTTATTTGTCTTCTAAATCCTTGTGTAAGAAGAGGTTCCAAACAATAGCGTTGTTAAACACTGAATATCTGTGACATTTACGATAATCTAACTGGACGATATATTGAAACTTAATATCACTGCCTCAGCACGGCTCTTTCCTTAGAAGCTATATATAATATTATTCTCCAAGTCAATTCTTTCTTCTGCACTACTCAAATTACTTATATTTTGTTTTTTTTCATGAAATGGATTTGAGTTCTCAGAGTGGTTATACGTTTTTATTCACCAACTAATCGTCATACTTTTCGAGCGCAAGTAATAAATTGCAAATGCTGTCACAAAAATCATTCATACTAACTATAAAAGACCAGTTTGACGACGGGACCTTTGGAAAGCTGATTTTTTCAGTCAATCAATTTTCAGATCTGCGGCCGTGTTGTATATAAAATATTTCTTTGTTCTCGTAACCACTATGCCAGTGCTTTTAATTTGTTTAATGGGACGGAGGACCTGCGTCAGCTATTGGAGTACGTCACACGAGCCAAAAGCTTTCAGTGGCCTGTTCTAACGAATCTGGAGTACCGATTTTGAGGAACAGTTCGTTGAAAACTCCAGGAACATAAACCGTTTTAGAGGAACATCCAGCGGAAACCCGAGCGGACGAATCATTTTTCAGGGTTCATGAGTTTCCTGGAAATCTGACCAGAAGGAATATTTTGTCGTTTATGGCATTAATCTTTGATGCCGGAGGGGGTATATGGAAACCTATCATAAAGTCAATGAGAAGGAATCCACAACATGGAGACTCACTGTTAGTAAACAATACTGGCTTGCTGAGAAATCTGTGGGTGAAAGCTATAGTTAGAGTGGTCATTTATGGTCCGGATGGACAAGTCAGAACAGTGCGATTAAAGAGAGCAACCGAAGAAATCACCCGGGATATACGGGGCCTATGCTTACTGGAAGAAGCCGACTATTTGAACGCTACGGTAACGAGGTCTGGACGTGGTGACCGCTTCGGGGGGAGTGTTAGTTATTTTATAACTAATTGTAGTTATGCCATAACTAACCAATCAGATTGGTTAAGTGCTCACCACGTTATCCAGTCTGACCGGTCTGTAAACTTTCTTTGTTGCGAATGACCTATCGATTGAAGGATGTTATTATTTTATTTTATACTGATGTGACTCATGTTTTTATTCATTATCTAAAGACACGCTATACTGGTCGGTACGTTTTCTCATCTTACTTGATAATTGTAATTTCCTTATTTATTGTTCGAATTTAATCGTTTTCTTGTTTAGAAACAGATAAAGTTTAAAACCAAGTTTTCCTTGTTCTGACTATAGCTTTACCATTGATTCTGTGAGCGTCAGTATTGCGTTTACTGTTTTAGAATTACATCTGTAGGACAAGTTAAATCCTGCAAAGGCTTCCCTCATAGCAGACAAGTTAGTATCGCTAATCAGCTCGCGAAACAACTACATAGTTGCTCCTACGTCACACACAAACGTTACCTCGAGGCTGATCACCTTCAGGCTCAACGATCCCGAGTTTGTTTTATCCACAGCCGCCTCGAATATAGAGACCGTTCTTTCGTTCCTGAACTTACTTTACATCCCACCAGCCCGCTCTCGATCAAGAAAGGCTGCAAGTACTTGCCCCCAACGGGCATCTTCCAAGCCACGCCAAAAGGCGGCTTCGGAACCGAGTACTTCCTGGTGCTGGTTCCACGAAACGTTTAGGTCTGGCGCCCGTCATTGTCGAGCCCCCTGCTCTTACAAGGCGGGAAACTTCAAAGCCTACGAGTAAACGCGGCCGTACTTGTCAGCCCCTCACCTCAGGTTGGCCGCCTATTTTACGTGCACGATATCCGCACGAACGGTAGGTACCTCATTGACACAGGTGCCCAAGTTTCTGTCGTACCACTTGGTAGCAGCAAATCTCAAGCTACGATGCTTCGACTACGCGCTGAGAATGGCTCTGTCATTCCTACCTATGGTACATGAAAGCTGTCGGTCAACCTGAGCAAGCGACGACAGTATCTGTGGACGTTCATCATTGCTGATGTTCCCACAGCTATACACGGTATCGATTTCCTACAGCACTATGAATTGCTTGTCGACTCACCTTGGCTGCAGCTTTCGAGCTCAAACAGGCGGGTACCAAATTACAGAGGTATTTCATTCGCGTGATGACATGTTTCACGCTTTACTCGAAAAATTTCCCCAGCTAAATAAACCACTCAACGAGAATCTATCGGTGACTCATAATGTGGTACACTGCATCGTCATCCGCGGATCACCAGTCACGGCACGACCTCGCTGACTGGAACTGGACAAATTAGCTTCGGCTAAACGTGAGTTTGACAATTTACTGGCTACATGTATTATTTGTCCTTCTCACAGTCCCTGGGCCTCACCACTCCAGATGGTTCGTAAAAGGGATGGGATAAGTTGGCGACTAACGAGCATTAAATGTAACAACAGGTTTTGACAGCTATCCCATCCCCCACACACAACAACACGGCATCACCCAAGGGCACGAGTATTTATTCTAAGATTGATCTGGTACGGGCATATCATCGGATCCGAGACGCTCTTGAATAAATCGAAAAAACTGCTATCTCGACTTCTTTCAGTCTCTTTGAGTTCCTATCAATACCATTTGAATTACGGAATGCTGCTCAAACTTTCCAAAGGTTTATCGATAGCATAGTACGAGACCTTTCTTTCGTTTACGTCTATATTGATGATCTGCTAATCGCATCATCAAACGTAGATGAACATTATCCACATCTTACACTTTTATTCCAACGCTTTCAGATAATGGAATAATAGTTAACCCAGACAAGTGTCAACTGGGCAAGGCAGAAACAAAATTCTTTGGTCACATAACTAAGCATGAGGGTGCTCTACCTTGTGAAGACAAAGTACATACAATCATAGAGTACACTGTACTGTCCTCACTCAATGAACTGAAAGCTTTTCTCGGTTTGGTTAACTTCTACAGACGTTTTATTCCTCAAGTAGCTATTAACCGACTTACTTCGCGGTAACCCACGTAAATAACAGTTGAACGATGCCGCGCGTACTGAATTTGTGGAGATAAAAAAGCATTAGTTGAAGTCATGCTTCTCGCCCATCCTGAACCATCAGCCACGCTTAGTATAACGGTTGATGAATCATATTTTTCTTTAGGAGCCGTTTCTCAACAGAGCATCTCTGGAAGTTGGCAACCTCTCGAATTTCTCTCATGGCGCCTTACTCCCCCTGAGACGAGATATAGCGCTCTTGGTAGCGAACTGCTAGCAGCCTACTGTGCCATCAAACATTTCCGGCACGCAGCAGAAGGTCGTAACCTTATTCTTTTCATCGACCGTAAGCCTCTAATGTCCGTTCTGCATACCAAGTCTGACCGCCTCTCACCACGAGAGTGCAGACATTTGGACTACATCTCTTAGTTCACGACAGACCGTCATATTAAAGGCGAGTCGAACTATGTTGTCGATGCCCTGTCATGTATTCAAGTGGATGCAGTTACTTGAGCTTCTTGCTATGGCCGCTGCCCAGGCAACTGATCCATTCTGCACAGAAGTACAACAATCTAAATCCCTTCAGTGCCAGGAGGTGCCCCTAGCTACTACCTCAATTACTATCCTGTGTGACAACTCTACTGGTTTACCCTAACCCCTTGTACCTCCTGCTCAACATCGTCTCATCTTCGATGCCCTTCGTGGATTGTCTCATCCAGGTATCTCGGTCACTTTACGTCTCATCGCTGCACGATAGGTCTGGCCTTCTATGAATAAAGATGTCCGTATGTGGGTAAAGCTATGCTTACAATGTCAACGATCAAAAGTGCACAGGCACGTAGCCGCCCCATTGGCACATTTGTTAAGCCTGATGCTCGCCTCGATCATGTTCATATTGACATTGTAGGACCATTTCCACCATTGCATGGGTATGATCCCATACTCACGTGCATCGATTGTTTCACAAGATGGCCCGGAGCTATTTCCATCACTTCTATTACGGAGGAAACAGTTGTTCGCCACCTTGTAGAACGATGGATAGCGCTGTACGATTGTCCCTCGACTGTCACAACTGACCGAGGACAACAATCCGAGTCCGAATTATTCTCCTCGCTAACCCGGCTGCTTGGTATGGAGCGCATAGGCACTACCGCCTACCACCCAGCTTCAAATGGTTTAGTTGAACGAGTTCATCACCAACCTAAAAGTGCTCTTCGAGCACACGAAAATAATAATTCGTACGAAACCTTACCGCTCGTCGTCTTAGGTATCAGAACGAGTTTAAAAACAGATATTCAATGTTCCGCCTCTGAATCAATATACGGCATGACAATGTATCTGCCTGGGGAATTTTTCACATCAAGGAGCAGTAATAACCTAAATAAATCAGACCATGTCCAACGATTGTCTGAATTTATGCGAGCACTGCCTCCGATGTCAACTGGAGCACAACATCAACAGGCCGCTCTCCCTCGAAAGTTATCTATCTGTTACCAT